CTCTGGAGTGGTCCTGCCTCCTACTGAGAACCATTGCTCTAGTTTGGGCTGCAAGAGTCACTGCCACCAACTTCATGACCATGCTTTATCCCTTCGTCTATCAACATCCAAACTTCTCTTTTGCTGGATGTCCTTCCTACAGACACCCTAATGGCTCTGATGTTTGTCTCCATTACATACTGCGAGCATTTTAATTCCATGCAGTAACTGTTGAGTCTGTTATATGCCAAGGTTGGGAGTACAGACAGGCTAGTGACATAGACAGACTGGAAACAATTACTTACCATACGGTGGGGAAAGTGCAACTAAGGAAGCTTGCACAAGGGACGGGGTTGGCAGAGGAGGAAGTGATGACCTCTCCTGGACCAAGAGGCCAGGGGGGAAGGGCATTCTACAGGTGGAGAGGGCAGCAGCATATTTTATGGAGACATAGAACACCTGGTGAGCTTGGCAGCTATAAAGAGCTTGGCATTGTTGAAGCATGAATTTCAAGTCAAGGTGTGGCAGGAAGATAGGTTGAAGAGGGAGGAAGCCACAGTTCACCAGGGGTCTCATGTGCCATGCTAAGGAGCTCAGATAACATGCAGAAGAAACTCCCCAATGTGTTATACTTGCAAATCTTCAATCATCCTGAAATGATAACATCTGAATGAGGTGTTTGAGAATTTTCTGAAGAGCTATATAGATAAGGTCACAGCAGTGTGATGCAGTTTCTCTCTGGCTCTATAACCTCATTTATGAAGTTCTTGTGTGCCTTGGTAGATTTTGAAGTTTCTTTTCATGGAGTTTTTAAAAACAGCTTTATTGAGCTATAACTGGCAAATAATAAACAGCACATACTTGAAGTGCATAATTTGTTAAGTCTGATGTTTAAATGGCATACGTACACATCTGTGAAACTATCACCTCAATCATCATATCCATCCATAAAAATTTCCTCATGCTCCTTGGAAACCCCTCCCCTAACCTCCATCTCAACTCCAGGCAACAACTGATCTGTTTTTTGTCACTATATATTAGTTTGCTTTTTTTAGAATTTTATATAAATATGTGCTCCTTTTTTTTTTGGTCTGGCTTCTTTCAAAGAGCATAATTATTTTCAGATTCATCCACATAGTTGCATGTATCAGTAGTTTTTTTCATTTTTAAAAAACTTTCCACTTTTGAGGTATGCCCTCCTACAGTATTTACTATATCTCAACAAATTTGCTCCATGGAATAAGAAAGCTCCACATTAGGAGGGGCTTTGGGGATAATAATCCCCCCTGGAGGTACAAGAGATACTGCTTGGGGAAGAAATGATGAGGCAGAGATTCTAGTTTTCTAAGAATTCTCCAAAATGTAAGAGTACTGTGATAAGCAAAATAATGGTACCCATAGATGTGCACATCCTTGTCCCTGGAACCTGCGAATATACTACTTTATATGTCAAAGAGGACTTTATAAATGTGATTAAGTTAGGGATCTTGAGATGAGGAGGCTATCTTGGATTATCTGAGTGGAACCACATTTGTAATCACAGGGGTCCTTGTAAGTGAAGAGGGAGGCAGCAGAGTCAGAGTCAAAATGAGATTTGAAGATGCTGTCATGTTGGCTTTGAAGATGGAAGAAGGGGTCACAGGCCAAGGAATGCAGATAGTCTTTAGAAGCCGGGAAAGGCAAGGGAATGGATTTCCCCCTAGAGCCTCTAGAAGGAATGCAGCCTGCTGACACCTTGATTTTAGCTCAGTGAAACCCATTTTTGGACTTCTGATCTCCAGAACTGAAAGATAAGAAGTTCGTGCTGTTTTAAGCCACAAGTTTGTGTAAATTTGTTAAAGCAGCAGTAGGAAACTGATACAATCACCAATACTGTTAAAAAAAAAATAGAGTCTGACCACTTCTATTTCCTCTTCCATTTTGTGACATGTGGTCTGATAGGAGAGGAAGCAAGTTGGATTTGGAATCAGACTGACCTATCCTAGCTGCTCCTCTGAGCTCATTCCCTCATCCTAAAGGAGGGATGATACAGTATTTATCTTTGGGGGGGGTCTGGAGAGAATTGATGAGAGGATATACACAAAGGGCCCAGCACATAGTATGCCCTCAATAAACATTCACTTTCTTTACTTCCCACCTAGTACTTGAATCCAAGGAACTAAATTCTCACTGCTAGTGACCTGCTGCATAATTTTGGCTAAACTGCTTCTTCTCCTTCAACCTATTCCATGAGGTTAAAGGGAGATACTTATTAAGTCTCTGAGAGTGTTTTTATTAAGTCTCAGAGTGTTTATTAAGTCTCTTAGAGTTTGTAATGTGGCTAGATACTCTTGGTTAAAAAGCATTATTTAGATGCAAAGTGCTGTTATCTTTTGAGCAGGTAATTATTTCCTGTCCTAAATTGTTTAGCACTGTACTGAGGTTCCATCTGAGATGATGATATTGCTTGAGAGGGTGAAGAGATACCTCACCTGAGTGTTGTGAGTCTTAATTAATGGTTGTTTATTAAGCCTACACAAGCCTATCATAAAAGGCTAAATGTTGAGTATTATTTACTTTTTATATGTTTATCACTACCAGTATTTTAATATAGCAGCTAAAACTGTCCAATAAAAGTTGGCATTTTGGTGTTGGATTAGGTAATATTCACTTTACTTGGGGGGAGTCTAATTGATTACTATTTAGAGAGCTTTGTGCTTTTTATAAGAAAGGGGTTAGGGAAATAGTGCTGTTATTTCTTTTTTCTTTTTTTTTTAATTTTTGGCTGCGTTGGGTCTTCGTTGCCATGCGCAGCCTTTCTCTAGTTGTGGAGAGTGTGCACTACTCTTTGTTGCAGTACGTGGGCTTCTCATTGTGGTGGCTTCTCTTGTTGCGGAGCACAGGCTCTAGGTGCGTAGGCTTCAGTAGTTGTGGCACACGGGCTCAGTACTGTGGCACACGAGCCTAGTTGCTCTGCAGCATGTGGATCTTCCTGGACCAGGGATCGAACTCGTGTCCCCTACATTGGCAGGTGGGTTCTTAACCAGTGCGCCACCAGGGAAGTCCCGCTATTTTTTTTTCTACAAGGGCTTAATTTTTAACAGATTTACATTTTAAATCCTTACCTTTTAGATAAAACTACAGATGGTTTAAAAAGCTAAAATTTTGAAGTACTGAAAGAGATAGTTTATATAATAGTTAACCATTTTTTTAAAGGTGGTATTTATCAGACATTATGTGCCACACACTGTTCTGAACTCTATGCATGCATTAAAGCTAAAATAAGCATAATCCAGCCCCAACATGCTACAATGATTTAGAGAGCATTGCTATCTTCATGGATTTCCAGATATATAAGTGGTTCATCAGGATGAGGGTGAGGGTGGAGGACGATTTACACAGCTTAAGACTTTGGTTCCATAGTAATGGTTACCATTTATTGGACACGCTACATGACAGACATTGGACTAAGTAAATGCATTGTCTTATTTTATTCATATATTAAGCCTTTGAGGTAGAGTTGTCATCACCATTTTACAAAGTAGGAAAATAAGTCAATTGCCCAAAATTGTGAGTCTAGAAAGTGGCAGAACCAGGATTCAAAATCATGTCCTGGGCTTCCCTGGTGGCACAGTGGTTGAGAGTCCACCTGCCAATGCTAGGGGACATGGGTTCGTGCCCCGGTCTGGGAAGATCCCACATGCCGCGGAGCGGCTGGGCCCGTGAACCATGGCCGCTGAGCCTGCACGTCCGGAGCCTGTGCTCAGCAACGGGAGAGGCCACAGCAGTGAGAGGCCCGCGTACCGCAAAAAAACAAAAACAAAAACAAACAAACAAACAAAAAATCATGTCCTGCTGTCCCCAGAGCATGAAGTGTCTGTATGAGGTATAGAGAACTATTGTTAAGTACTCAGTAAATGTTATTTGACTACAAGTATGTTTAAACCATAGAACAAGGGCGATTATTTTTCTACATGTTTAGATAATCATCTTTTCATAGTTTTCAATGACATGTATATTTCCTTTTCTGTTAATTCATGTCCTTTGCTCTTTGGGGTCATTTCCTTATTGATTCAAATGATCTGTATTATAAAATACTTGGAAGTACAAGAAAGCATGACCAAGGAGTCATGATAAATTCCTCCCTTATCCTCACCTACCTTCACAAACACAGTGCCAGGTTCTGTTGATTTTTCCTCCAAAATATGCCTTATGTCTTGAAGACATCCATTTCTTTCATCTTCACTTCCATCACCCATGCTAGCTCCTTTTAGCTTCCCCAATACACAGAGTTTTTTTTCATCTTCCAGTCTTTGCATACATTTTCCCTGTGCCCAGAACACTCTGCCCCAACTCGTTGCATGGCTGGTTTTGCATCCTTCGGGCTCCATCTTGAAAAGTATGTCCTCAGAAAGCTCTTTCCTGCCTATCCTATCTCAAGAAAGATTTCCTTCCTTTCTCACATTCTTTTCCTATCTTTCATAGTAATTATCACCATTTATAATACACAATATTCTAAATCCTTTGCATGCAATTAATGAATTAATATTTGTAAAGTGCTTAGAACAGTGTAAGGCACATAGTAAGTACTATATAAGTGATGATTTTAAAAAACAACTCCCATGATCCTCACAACGCTATCTGTGCTATTAATGTCACCTTTTTACAGATGGACGAACTGAAGAACAGAGAAGTTAAGTAACTTGTCCAGAGTTGTGCAGCTAATGTAACAGAGTCTAGCTACAAACTCAGTCTGGCACCAAAATCTACACGCCTAACCATTTTCTATATTTCCTTTTCAGTCCACGACCTAGCATAGTGTTTTGCACCTACTAGGAATTTTCAATAAATATCTGTTTAATAAATGAAGGGACAGCTCTAATAATAAAATAAAATTTACCTGTAATCCTACCACATAGAGATTTGGGGATTCATCCTTTAGATGTTTTTTCTAATGCAAGGTTAGACTTTTTACCAAAATCATAACGTTCAGAAATCACTTTGAGGAGCATAGATCAGGCATTGGTGTACAATATATTTGACATTTTATTCTTTGAAACATTTATTGATAATTTCAAGTCAATGTTCTTCCTTTAGACAGGAGGTAAAACGTGAGGGAAAGAAGGGCAAGTCTTTAAACAAAAGAGAAAGAATTTTCCTAAAATATTCTGGCCCTTCTTATCTCTAGGCAGAGGTTGCCAAACTTAAGCTAGAAAGTTTAGGGAAAGGATGAGGTATTATACTTCTTTAAATCAAGCGTGTTTTGAAATTTGTGGTAAGTATTATTTTTAGAAAATCAACTGGTAAGAGTTTTCTAAACGTTCCCAAAGCACAGCAAAGGTCCATTGTTTACCATACAAATCCAACAATCTATGATGATTACCTGGCTATGTCAGTGGGAAAATTGGATAAAAGGACAGCACTGACCACCAAAGGGCAAGGAAAGTAAGCAAAGGCTGCTGGTAAAACACCAAGAGGAAGCTTCTCCATACACTAGTTTACTCAGTCTCAAAAAAATTTTTTGTTCTTTTAAAACAGTTTCAGGGTAGATAACTTGTAGCAGCTGGTCATCAAATTTGCGTACACTCATGGAAGGCCTACATTGCTAAGACTGACTATGAATAATACATCTATCGGCTCTCCAGGGAGGATTGGATTGGTTTGTTGCTCCTTCACAGTGTCTTCCTACTGCCACTCAACAATAGCTGGATGAAGCCAGACCGTCGCCCTGAATGGTGTGTGGTTACAGTCACAGACACTGCATTTGTGGGCACCCTACATTTCTGAGATAGAGTTAGCTGATAGAATTACCAGAGCGTAATCAAATGCAGTCATTGCAGAGGGAGCCTTCTATCACATTACCTCTGAACATATTTTAATCTAGAAACACCATACACTGGATACAAAATCCATGACTACCTGACCTCTGGGCGTGGCCTGGGATATACTACTCTGAGCCATCTCCTATTTGCTTTCATGGGTAAATAGAAATCTTGAGCTAGGAACAGAGGGAGAGAATTTGAAAATTAAAACAGAGTCAAAGTCAGTATTTTTGAAGGCTCTTAAAAGAACAACAAAAGCAACAAAAAAAAGACAAGTTTAGATCACATCAGAGGTTCCCTATGTAGTCTTCAAAGCTGATTTCTTACAGTCAAAGCTACCCAGAAGAAGCAGGCACAGCATGATCAGGTTTTGCTCTATTATTCAATTGCAGCCAACTTCCAACTATTAAAAAAAAAAAAAAAAGAAAGATGATTTAGAATGACAGGATTGCTCATCTGTATTTCAAGGTCCTTCAACCAGTTTACTCCTTGATGTTCAGAGACCCCAAGATGGAGGTGAGTTTCTATTGCTACCGCTGTCGTTTTATCTCTTCGTGTTGACTGCAGCATGTGTTGGTTGAAGACTTAGAGCATATTGGTTTATGGGCAAGAAATATCATTGGATCATGTATTTGAAGTTCCTAACTGTAATCTAGTCACATTCTTAATGACACACACAAAAAGGAGTAAGAAGATTTTGGATTGTTGAATCATTGTTTCCAACAGTCAACTCCTATTATCATTACAGAAGGTAGGGTTGATCTTAGAAGAGTGGGGTTCAGGACCTGAGTGTTAAGTTCTTTAGTGGAAGGAGGCAGGGAAGCGTTGGTGGCAACAACGCCTGTTTTCTCCTCTGCCTCGGGGCCAGGTGCACCCTGTTGGAGTCTAGCAGAGATCTAAACACAGAAGAGAGGGTATTGGGGATGAGGCTAAGAGACTGTCACAGGCACACAGCCCCACAGTTTTCCTTTGAATATGGAAAGAGTCCTCTGATACATAACATCATATATTACATCTGTATTACCACTAAATGGGCCTGGTAGATAGAACAAACATCACCTACCAGCCAGAAACAATGATTCGCTGACCATCTTTGGTCTCCAACCACCAAGGAGTTTTGGTTTATCCATCTATAGACATTCTTAGTTGAATCCATCAGATTTGCAGTCATCCCAGCCATGGTTATTTTCTTCTCTTAAACTAGGCATATTAGTGAGGTTAGGCCAGCACCTCAGCACCAAATTTGGACTTCATAATAAAGTAAACTACACAGGGGATAGAGGTCAGCATGGTGAGCACTTTGCTGTTCATCCCTATTTGGGGCCCAGACTGAACTGTTTCCAGAGGGCCAGGTCGCTGTGATGTGCTGACCTCTTTTGCTCAAAGTATTCACTCTCAGGGTGATTTGTGAGCTGCTGCTGAGCACGTAATGATCAGGACAGCTGCAAAAGCAGTCATGGCCCCACATATGTTCACCTGAACTCAGTAAATCAAATTGGGTTCTATAGAAAAGTTCTGTTGGGTTCTGACTGGAACCTCTTAGGATTCACCTTTGGATTCTAAGATGGAGCTGAGTATTGGTATGGGAAGATGGTCTAGTTGCTTCTAGCTACCTGTAAGGGGCCCATGATGATTCTAAGGCTGTAGCTTGTCCTTTAGCAGAAAAAATCCTTTTAATATCTTGCAATCACACACAAAAATAACTATAATAATAACAGAAGCTGTTTTCCTGTGTGTAATGAGAGCGTTCCTCAAGCTTCTACCTTGTCTTGGTGGTTGCTCTTTTTTCTTTTTCTTAAGAGTCATGGCAAAAATTAAATTTTATCAGTTTAAACAGAATGATATTTTAGAAATTAGAATCTGGCTAACAAAGGGTCTTTTCTTCCATAGCAAGAAGGGCTTCCATAGCAAGAACTGCTCAGCAATGAGTATCTCAAGATACAAAGAAGGCTTGAGGATGAGTTTCAGGCTATAGCTTGGGTCATTAAAAGTCCTGCAAAACTAGAATTCATCTTTCTTTTCTCTTTTCTCTGTAGGCATTTAAAGATGCTTTTTCCCCTCAAAAATTAGACAACTTTAAAAAATTAAAATATATTTGACATATAACAAGGTGTAATTTTAAGGTATACAACATGTTAATTTGATCCATTTACATATTGTAATATGATTACCATTTTAGTGATAATTAGACCTCTATCATGTTACATAATTATCATTTTTTTAGTGGTTGGGATACTTAAGTTCTAGTCTCTTAGAACGTTTGATGATTATAATACAATATTGTTGTCTATACTCATCATGCTGTGCTTTAGATCTCTAGGGTTTATTCACTGCTCGTTGCAAGTCTGTACCCTTAAACAACATCTGTCTTATCCCCCCACCCTCCATCCCCTGGTAACCACTATTCTACTCTCTGTTTTTATGCGTTTAGCTTTTTTTAGATTCCACATATAAGTTATACCATACAGTACTTGTCTTTCTCTGACTTATTTCACTTAGCACAATGTGCTTAAGGTCCATTAATGTTATGGTAAATGGCAGGATGTCCTTCTTTCTCATAATATATATATGATAACTTCCATAAATGCACCCCAATGTTCATTGCAGCACTATTTACAATAGCCATGACATGGAAACAACCTAAATGTCCGTTGACAGATGAATGGATAAAGAAGATGTGGTACATATATACAGTGGAATACTACTCAGCCATAAAAAAGAATGAAACAATGCCGTTTGCAGTGACATGGATGGCCCTAGAGATTATCATACTAAGTGAAGTAAGTCAGAAAGAGTAAGACAAATACCATATGATACCACTTATATGTGAAATCTAAAATATGACACCAGTGAACTTATCTATGAAACAGAAACAGGCACACAGACATCGAGAACAGACTTGTGCTGCCAAGGGGGAGGAATGAATTGGGAGTTTGGGATTAGCAGATGCAAACTATTACATGTGGAATGGATAAACAACAAGGTCCTACTGTATAGCACAGGGAACTATATTCAATATCCTGTGATAAACCATAATGGAAAAGAATATGAATAAGAATGTATATATATGACATCTTCTTTATCCATTCATCCATTGATGGGCACTTAGGTTGTTTCCATGCCTTGGCTATTGTGAACAATGATGCAATAAACATGGGAGTGCAGGTATCTTATTGATATCCTGTTTTCATTTCATTTGGGTATATATCCAGAAGTGGAATTGCTGGATCATATGGTAAATCTATTTTTAATTTTCTGAAGAACTTTCATATTGTTTTCCATAGTGGCTGCACCAACAGTGTACAAGGGTTCCCTTTTCTCCACATCCTCGCCAACATTTGTTATTTCTTTTCTTCTTGATGATGGCCATTCTAACAGGTGTGAGGTGATAGCTCATTATAGTTTCAATATGCATTTCCCTGATGATTAGCAATGTTGAGTATCTTTTCATGTACCTGTTGGCCATTTGGACAACTTAGATAATGTTTTTTGTTTTGTTTTTGCGGTACGCGGGCCTCTCACTGCTGTGGCCTCTCCCGTTGCGGGGCACAGGCTCCGGACGCGCAGGCTCAGCGACCATGACTCACGGGCCCAGCCGCTCCGTGGCACGTGGGATCTTCCCGGACGGGGGCACGAACCCGCGTCCCCTGCATTGGCAGGCAGACTCCCAACCACTGCGCCACCAGGGAAGCCCAGACAATGTTTTATCTAAAATTATTTGGTGATAGTTTTCACGATCAAACAATAAATTCATTTCCAGGTAGATTTTTAAAGTAGTTTTAAGGCTCCTATAGAGATCATGTCTCATATATGCCATTTATTCCTTTATCCTGTAAATATCCCACAGATAAAGAGTACCTAGCCTTCCATACCTGGGCGTTCTTCAGCACTCCAACACTGAGACTGTTTTTCTCATTTTTAAGCTACCATAATTGTTTGCTCACTCTGTGCTGAGCACTGTGCCAGGAGCTTTAGATCGCTTATCTCATGTTCATCTAGCAATCCTGTGAGCTAGGTATTATTATTCCTATTTTTCAGAAGAGGAAACTAAGACTCCGAAAAGTTAAGGAACTTGCCTGATGGCACAGAGCTAAAGAGTGGAAAAGCCGGAATTCAAATCCAGGTCTCCCAACGCCTGCTTCCCCTCTGTGCTTTTGACTTTCCTGGGAAGCATTTCCCTTGTTCTTCACGTTCAGTTGGAGTAGCCTGTAATTTTGTTCATGTACCTCACTTTACAGTAAATATTAGACTGGTAAAGTAATCCTGCAGTGATGATGATGACGATAATTCTTCTTTTTCTTCTCTCTTTCTCCCCTCACTTTAAACAAAATATTTTTTTTGAGTTCTCTAACATTGGCATATATCTATAAATTCAAATTTTTGTACAATGTTTTATAGATATCTTTACCACATTTAGTGTTTACTCTATTTTTTGCTTGGAGAATTAATCTTACTTTTTTTGTCAAACATATTGCTTTAGCTTTTTAGGTTATATAATAAAGCAGAAGTCCACAGACTCATAAAAATTTAGATGGGGAAGAGGCCCTCAGAGATCTGTTCATCCAACCCCATCATTATATGGGCAAGGGAGGCCAGCCAGTGGTTGTGGGTCCCTTGGTTGAGTCAGAGCCTCAGTTACTCCCTTAAAACTGGAGGTAATTATACTACTTCTAAAAAGTTGTCCCAAAAGTTTGCAAATCAAGAAGCGATATCTAAATGGATGCTTTAAATTTTATTTAAAAGAATAAAAGACTCTTACCAAATGGCAGCTGGTTTTGCTCTGAACATTTTCAGGAGTATCGCTGAGACACGCTGCTACCACCAGACTGTGGCAGCTTGACAGGACTGCTCAGAGCAAGGCAGCCTCTTGAACTGGGTTCTGCCTGGGTTCTAATCAGAAGAGGGATGCTTGATGGCAGATTGGCCTCTGGGTGTTCAAAAGACCTTTTGGTTCCTTGCTCATATTTCTGTCAGTCCTTCTCTGCCTTTCTCCAATATACAAGGGAAAATCAGAAGAAGGGGACCAGAATGTCTGGGAGGACAAATGAAAAAGCACCAGAACAGAGTAGGCTGGTGGTTTGTTTGAGTTGAGTCTGCTTTCAGTGCCACACAAAGAGGCCCATCAGTGATGTGTGGACAAGTGACAGCCGTGGTACTTAAAAAAAAAAATCAATCCTTTACTTGCATTCCAAGCTCCTATTTGGGGAGAACAAATTTCAAATAGTACTTCCTAAGAGAAGTTGGTAAATATTTGGTCATTAACTAGAGACTAATGTCTCCCTCAAATTTTAATGAATAAAAAATTTAGCCCCCCTCCTTTCTAATTCTTTGCTTATATACCACTGATTATGTTCATGTAGGCTTTAGGATGAGTTACTCTTGGCTGTGCTTCCTGCCTTCATGTTTATAACTGCATTTCTCTAAACGAAAAGCATCCGTTTTGTTCCGGCATAGACACTAGGATAAGCATGGTTTCATACGTTAAATAAATTATATTTAAAATGAGGCTCTTTTTGTTTTGCACGGACTAAGACACACAACGAAGACAATCAATGAAAACCAGAAGGTCTGTTGCTACAATTAAGAACATCAAGACCAGGCAGCAACCGATAAAGGAGGTCAAGCCGCACATACATGGATGAAGCCGATTTCTCGGAAGATGCAACTTCTAAGAAACGGGAGGATTTGCCTTATGATGGGGACTTCTCCCAAATTCAGATGTACAACGATTACAATTTTACCTCAAAATATGACATCCTTGATGTCTCAAATCAAACGAATTTAACAGAAGAGGACCTTCAAGAAAAGGCTACACATAGAGAGACTTGCAGAAAGGCAGATATGGCCATGACTTTGGATAAAACAACTGAAAATGCTGTCAGCAAAAAATATAATAAAGAGAATCAATGCACCATAAATCTTCATATTCCATCTAACCAAGGAGACCCTTCAAAGTCAAACATTCCTGATATTTTACTCCATCATGTTTGCAAAGAGGAATTCTCAAAAGGTCAAGGCATTAATTGTGAAACTCTCCCAGAGATCTCTAATGCTGACAGTTTTGACGGAGCTATTATTAAAAATATTATTTTGCAGCATGTTACGAATTCTTGGCCAACAGAGCAAACCTCGGAACTCACTGACCAACTCAACTCCAAAAGCGATGGTGAAAACAGCAATAAGCCCAGGTGTTTGCCAACCACGACAGAAGAAAACACCTCTGATTTAGAAGATCCGGTCGCTGCTGGAGAAAGCAACCATCAGGAAAATTCAAATTTTCTAACTAAAATCAAGAGTCCAGGTGATAAAGAAAAAAGTTGCCAAGGGCAGACACCCCAGAAACAGCAGGCTGAAAAAGCAAGTTCAGGCAACAGGTTCAAATATGGCCAAGGTCAAGTTCATTACTGGTTCTCTGATTCCTCTAAGGTTGCTCCTAAAAATAACATAACTGACAAACCACTTACAACTGATAAACAAGCCAGCTTTTCTCCTAAATTGAGAGATAAGTCAGCTATTGTGCAAGATATTTCAGAAAGCATGTCTAGATCAAACGGTGTTGAAAAACAAGAGCAGAAATGGAAAACTCCTGAAACTTCACAACAGATAGAGGTAAGTGAAAGCTGTCTCCAGCAAACATATAAGCAGGGCCGCTACTCATCTATATCAGTGTGGGTCTCTGGAGGGTGCATAGAACTGAGGTGTAGGTCTGAGGTTCTGGGTTCTAGTTCTGGCCCAATACCTTGACCTCTCAGAAGCTCAGTGGGTCTTCTCCTGAGAAGAATCAGGGGCTGAACTAACAACAACACATAATAGAATAAAATCCAAGTTCTTCAACCTGGAATTTGCGTTTCCCTGTTTTTCATGTCATCCTACTCTTCTAAACTAAACTCCCCCCTCCCACCCCAGGAGTCATCCTTAGGTACCTGGCTGGCCCTGCCCTCTCTGAGATCCTGCCTTACGTGGAACATCCCACCTCTGCTTACCACAGACCTGCTCATTTTCATGGCCTCCTTCAATTCCCCACTGGCCACAGGACTTCTCAGAACCCCCTAGTCACAGTCTTTCCCATCCTTGTTTGTTTAGTGTTCTGTCAGAGCATTTATCTCAGCCCGCTTTGGATCCTAACGATTTAGAAACATCTGTTCCTTCCACTAGATTTGAAGACTCTGGAGGCAGCCACCTCGTCTCCATCTTTCCTTTGCCCAAGTTCCCCCAGAGGCCTAGCCTTCTGTTTGCACATATTATGTCCTTGGTTATGAATGCTCAATTGGACTGAATTAAGATCTTTAATAACACGCTTCAAGATTGTTATATTGGTAACTATTTAGTACAAAATTTTGCTAATGTTTACTTTACACTATTTCCCCTTTCTGCATCTTCCCATCCTTCCACCCACCTTCCCAGCATGCTGAGGCTCAGGATCTCATTGATTGTTTGAGGTTCAATGGTTAGGTAAGTTCACAGTAATGATCAAAGTAAACACTGTAGCTCTCTGGCACTTTGCCAGGACTGTATGATCTTTCCTTTAAGCATTCTATGAGGGGCCCCCTGACTGAACGTTCTCTGCCTATTTCCATTTCCACCTCTTTATGCTTCAGCTGCCTTCCCTTTCAGCTGAACGTTCTGGGGAGTTTGAGCAGAAGCCCCCACCCCTGACACACACACACATACACACATACCGGGAGCCAGCAGCCCACCTGGCCTCGACTGGGACGCTTCTCTCAGTCATGGAGAAATCTGCACCCCTGTGACACTGGGAAGTCTCCACTTTCCTCATTCTGCTTGCAGGAGAACACCCCTCGGTGGGCACAGTTCTCAGTGCCCTGTGGTTAGTAGGGGCAGAATGAATATCAAGTTCATCTGTCTCTGGCAATGGGAGCCTGAAGTCAGGTGTCTGATTTTCTCTCGTCCTGTCAGTTCAGGTTGGAGAACTGGACTCTATAGGTTCCACAGCCACCATATAATTGAGATATTCGTAATAACCACAGTCTAGTTTGACCACTACAGTAGGTCTCTGGCACTAGCGTGTTTGTGAGCTGTGTGTGTTGGGAACAATGGGAAGACCCTCAAGGTGAATCACTCCGAAATCTGAACTCTTATCCAGTTAGCCTGTGGTGAGTAGAAAAGGGCTGTGTGAACAATCACTATCTTGACACATTTTGGAACTTAACGCTTACTGTTATTGTTCTCTGGAGTGTGGCTACCATGTGTCTGAGTGTTAGTGAGAGCGCCAGCAATAGAGCCGGTGACGAGATCAACAACGGTCCTTTGTGGAACCTATGGTCTAGCTGTAGGAGAAATATGTGAGTATTCCTCGTAATAGTAACAAACATGATAGTAGTAACAAGCTAACATAAACGCTTACCATATGACAGATACTATGGTAACATTTAATTCTCATCACAACACTATGAGGTAGGTTCTATTACTATCCCCATTTTACTGTTGAGGAATTTGAGGTTTACAATGATGAAGTAATTGCTCTGGGTCACCTGGCAGATAAGTGTCAGAGTGGAATTTAACCTTGGCATCAGGGGCCCAGCTCTTGACACAACTGGGTGGCCTCCATGATGACCAGAACACATCGAGTCATACTGAGTAATGGCGTCATGATCACTATCAACAGTCACGTTTTCTTATCCTTTAAATGCGCAGATGGAGCCCATGGTACACATCCACCAAGAACATCTTGCAGGTACTAGCATTTTAAAAAATATTTATTTATTTAATTTTTGGCTGCATTGGGCCTTCATTGCTGTGCGTGGGCTTTCCCTAGTTGTGGTGAGCGGGGGCTACCCTTCGCTGTGGTGCTTGGACTTCTCATTGTGATGGCTTTTCTTGTTGTGGAGCACAGGCTCTAGGCGCACAGGCTTCAGTAGTTGCAGTACGTGGGCTCAGTAGTTGCAGCTCGCAGGCTCTAGAGCGCAGGCTCAGTAGTTGTGGCACACAGGCTTAGTTCCTCCAAGGCATGTGGGATCCTCCAGGACCAGGGATCCAACCCATGTCCCCTGCACTGGCAGGCAGATTCTTAACCACTGGTCCACCAGGGCAGTCCCAGTACCAGCATTTTTAAACCTCTTTGATTTAGATATACATTTTGAAAAAAAAAATTTTTTTTAAATAGTGATTGGTAGTGATTGCCACAGACTTCTGTTTTCTGTACTTAATAAAACTGCAGTGCAGCTGAGATGAATGGTAACCAAAACTTATTCTTTCTTACATAGGAATAGAATCTGAGACAATCTCTCTAAGATGCCATTGACTTCTCAGAAAGACCCTTCCTCAAGTTCTTCTTACACATTTCACACGATATCCCAAGGGAAACAGATGTGTCAGAAGTTAAAAGAACAGACTGATCAACTGAAGACTAAAGTAATACTTTTAAAGCTTATTATGAAAGATAGAAATAACCAAATTCAAACATAAGACACTATGCCCTTAACGAAATATTGCATTTTTTCACTGCAGGTACAAGAATTTTCCAAAAGCATAGCACAGGATTCTCCCTATCATTTGCAAGATAGGAGGCTGGTAATAAATTTTATCAAGTTTTAAAAATCTTTTTAGGGAATTTGACATGGGAAAATACAAATGACTTTATAGTATCATGTTTTCTCTACATTGGTGGGAATAGAAATGCTCTGATAAGAAATGCTTTGCTGAAGATGAAACTATCTTTGTGTTACAGGGACTAAAAGAGCTTAGAGCTTTCTGTTTCTATATGTATTTAGCCCTTTCTCCTTCTCAGGGGATCTATTACTTATGGCTGTCTTTCCTCAGCAGTCATCCCATAATAAATATGAGACCATGGTAAGTTCAAGAGAATAATATGTCAGCTGTTGTAAAGGGCAAGCACATCCAGATTTGATGGGTCCTGGGGGATACAGGCTACAAAAATCACCAGTATCTGGCAACTCAATATGTAAAACTTTGAAAACTTAAAATTAATCTTGAAGCCATGCTCTTCAGATCAAAACCTTTGACTTTCACATCCTTGCTTGTTGTTGCATTTAATCAAATCATTAATTTATGTTGTAACCATAGCCTTGTTCATCAGCGTCAGGGTCGTGGGAAGTGGGGGTGAAGCATGGCAGTGGGGCAAAAAGCTGAGACTACTAGAACCAGGGATGTGTGAAGTTGAAGATGTAGTTTAGGCCACTGGGTCAGCAGCAGGACAGATGGCCAGAAGTCCTGACATAAAGGACACGAGCAAAGCTCAGGGCAGTCTGTGCTTCAGAAACCAAACAGTATAGACAAAAACTAGGAGGAGGCAAATGTTGAGACACAGTTCATTATTCTTTCACCATAGTAATTAAATAACTCATACATTCATTTGACAGCATTTGTGGGGTACTTCCTATGACTCAGACTCTGTATCAGGCATTAGGAATTTGGAGATGAAGAAACACTTCTTTTTCAAGCGACTTATCGTCTCCTAGGAACAGACCAGTAAATCAACAAGTAACATGCAGCTTGGGAAAGGTTACATATGATACTAATGGCAGCACTGAAGAGGCTCACCCTTGCCAGTGAGACGGTACTTTAGAAGGCTTCCTGGAAGGGACTTCTGAGCTGGGCATGTAGGAAGAATATGGCAGAGTAAGGGCAAAGGTGTATTCCAGGAAAAGGAATCAGCAGGTGCAGTGGCACAGTGCTGAGAGTGTGAGGAACTGTGTGGCGGTGTAATTGACCAGATGGAGCTCAGGGGGAAGGGAGGAGACTGGAGAGGTAGATAAGGACTACATCATGAAAAGCCTTTACACCACGCTAAGGAGCTTAGATTAATTTCATCCTGAGGTGGAGTGATGGGGCAACACTGGAGGATTCAAAGCTGAGAAACAGCAAGCACCATGGGGGCAAGACTGTAGGGACAGAGATCGGCTAGAAAGCCATAATCCAGGTAACAAGTTATATGAAGTCCTAAAGCAAGGCTGGCAGTGAGGATGGAGAGGGCACAAATCCAAGAGTTTAAGGAAGTGGCGGCAGATTGAACCAGGTAAAGAAGAGAGGAGGCTTGGATGCATTCCAGATTTCTAGCTTGGGTAACCAAGGTCAGGAATAAAAGTGGAGGATCCAGTTCAGAATGGGTGTGCCAGGTAGGCAGGAGGCCAGATGTCACATTCAGTTTGGGACATTTTGAGGTACCCATAAGACATCCAATTGGAGAGGTCCAGTAGGCAATTAGAGCAATGGATCTGAAGCTCAGAGGAGTTGTTTGGGCCAGAAATGTAAATTTGGGTATAGTTTTATGTTGAAGCTGTGGGGTATAGGCGATTGCTCAGGCAAACACGCAGAGTAAGCAGTGAAGAAATCCAAAGATAGGATCATAGGAAGCAGAACCAGGGGCAGGTAAAAGAAGAGGGGTCCTCAAAGGAGATCGATGAGGAGAGACTCAAACGGTCGAGGCAGACCTGGAAGGGGCAGAGCTATAGAAGCCAAGAGAAAAGAGGGTTTTGAGAAAGAGGGAGTGGGCCACACCATCAAATCTTCAAGTAAGGAAGGTAAGCAAAATGTGCATTGGATTTGGCAACTGAGAGGTCATGAGGGAGCTTGGCAACCCTGATTTCAATGAAGTGGTGGTTCTACAGAAGCCAGATTGCAGGAGTTAAGGAGTGAATGATAAAGGAGATCTCCTAAAACCCAGGCTTTCAGAAACTGGGAGAACATAAAGTTTTAAAAGGCCAAGCAAAGCAGAGGAAACTGGTTCAAGGCATTAGCCTTCTTGAGGAAGTTTCAGGAAGTTTCTTCCTATGTTAGAGGGTATGTGGGGATTCGTGTCGGGACTGAGAGAAGAGGAGAGAGGTGACTCCTTAGGAAGGTGACTCCTTAATTCCGGGCCCATCTGGTTCAGTGAAGGAAGGCCAGACAGGGCTAAAACTAACTTTCTCAGGGTGAGCAGCACACGGAGAAAGCTTTTGGATTTTGCAGCAAACATCCTGGTTCTATGTGTTGATTGTACAAGCTTAGACATGTAGCATGTCTGCCTATCTTAGTTAAGAGAGTTAAATGAGGTACATTTATGGCAAGAAAACTATGCCCTATCTTCTTCTGAACACAATTAAAATTCCAAGATCCCAAATTATAATTCATAATTGGCTTGCTTCACTTTTCTCTTTCCTTTGAATACCTAATTCCTTCTCATGGCTTTAACCACCATTTTCATGCTACCAATTCCTAAATTACTAGTCCTCACTTCTCATCTGGAGCTCCAAATGTTTGTGTTGATCTTCCTTTGGATCTCCCACTCTTACCAAAAATTCTACCTTGCCCAACATTGACACCTTCATTCAAACTTGTTAGCCTTTCCAAATTCCTCAGTTTCATCAGGGGGTTCACATTCTTCCCACCTCCCACAGTAGAAACCTTTGAGTGTTGTCTGTGATATTTATAGTATCAGTCAGGGTCCTGGCAAGAACAAGAAGGCTTACTCCAGTGGAGTTACTGAGGAGAGCTTAGTAAGGCATTATTTTACAAAAGCATGGGCAAGGTTAAGGGAAACCAATAAGGGATAGAAAGCATCTCATGGAAGGAACAGTGGGGCAGAGGGACGGAGGAAGAGCAGATAATGGAGCATAACAAGAGTAGCAGTAGCTGTAGGGGTAGCTGACAAGTTCTGCGGCTTTTGATAGAGACACAGCCAATCCATGATGATACAGACAGGAGGAAACCAAGGAAATAAAGACCCTACCTCATCCTTCTTCAGTTCCTCTCTCCTGCTGTTGTCTTCCATTGGCTGAAATCAACCAAAGCCAGAGGCATGGGAGCCTATTGATACAGTGCATTGAAGGCCAGCCTCCTGGCTGGGGCACGGAGAAAGTTGGAGGGTGGATCTGGGGTGAGGAGAAATGGAAAACATCTACCACACTTGCCATTTTTTATACCTGTATAGCCAGTATGCTTCTAAACTTGTTTGTTTATTTTAATAATAGTAAGAACTAATAACAATGAAGATGAGAGCTACCATCTATTGAGGGTGTACTATGCTCCTGGCACTAAGCATTATCTCATTTAATTTTTACAATATGAGGTGAGGGCTATTATCTCAAATCAGAAAACTGAAACTTAGAGTTCAAGGTGACTAAAATCATACAATTAGTAGGTGACAGTCTGAACTTGAACCCTGGTGTGTCCGATTCTGTAATCCCATGATGCAGTATTCTTGCCTTTGGCAATATCTCTCCAATTCATCCTTTCCTCTCCATTTTCACGGATACTGCCTGATCCAAGCCCTCTTGAGTCCTTTAAGCCTGACTTAAGTCTCACTTCTTCCATTGAGCCATAGCAAAGTATTCCATCCCACAGTCTGTTTTCCCAACTGGAATAAAATCCCTGAGACTAGGGACTGTGCCTGATACAGCTTTTGTGTCTCTCACACTTTTGGCCCAGGACCAAACATGGGCAGTGCTCAGGGAATGTTTAGTGACTGGGGCTGCAGGGCTGCAGCCTCTGTGCATCGAGATAAGACCCTGACCTGTACAGTTTAAACATTCATCTGCATGAGGCTACATCTGGAAGACCCATTTGAAGTTTTTGACTAAACTTCCCGATGTTCCTTCCCCATTTCATCCCCCAAGTGCCACAGATTCAATCCCAGGTCCTCTAACTTCAGTTCTTTTCTAATATCTATGTGACTTCTGACATACTTCCTAGAGCCCCAGTTTCCTCCTCTATAAAACTGGGATAATAAATCTACTTTGCCACGTTTACAACATTGATGCATGGATTAAATAAGATAATGAATGGAAAAGTGCTCTATGAGCTAAAAATTATTCTGCAAATATGTAGGATTATGAATGTCCCATTAATAAAAATTTAAACACCTCCAAGTGCGTTCTAGGAGAGAAATCAGAAGTGACCATAGTTTTCAGCTATGTGCTATGAGGTGTCATAAATGCTGAGATGGGTCTTGGGTTGTCTATATTTTAGATGTCAGACTCTGAAACAAAACAATTGCCAGGAGAAGGATGATGGCTTTGTTTTGACACTACTGTGGGGTACATCCTCATTGTGTTTTGGGGAAAACCAACTACACACACAGGCTTACCTGTGAATGATTCCAGTGACTCCACTGTTACAAGTCCTCGAGAAAATGCAGGGACACCTCGAACTGCTGGAATAGGAGTTTCTGGCCAATAAGGAAAAGCATCTGACTTTGAAACAGCAAGTCCACAAGCATGAATCCCCAGCTGTCGATGAATTTGATCCAGAAAGGTGAGGCTTAAACTGTGTAAGGTGGAAGGGTCAGAGGTAATCTCCTTCAGGTGGGATTCTGATGCGGCTGATGGCTTAGTGCTTGGAGAGCCATTGGTCTTGGGTCAGCAAAAACTGTGCTCCCATTGAATAAGTGTCACCCCATGCAACAAGCAGTACGGAATTCCTGCTATGTGTAAGGTCCTGTGCAGGGCACTGACCCAGATAGAGTGCCCCAAATGAACAATGGTCTCCTGGAGGAGAGACATTGTGCCACCACCTTGCATTTTGTTGGATGTCATTATAATTGGTTCTGAGACTCAGAAGAGTACAAGAAACTCTAGAAAGGCTCACGTGTTAACCCCAGAGGACCCTCTCCTCTCCAAGCTCCTCCTGTCCTGTCCTCTCCTTCATCCCACTCCTGCCTTTATTTCCCCTGCCTGGTTCTTCTTTTCTGTCCCTCTTTTTCCTCATGCACAGACAATTCCAAAGAGACAGCAGGCAGGAATGAATCATTGTTACATTGGTTAGTGTTGGGGTAAGGGACCCACAAATCCTGATAAAGGCAAAATGTTAAGGCTTGAAGTCAAATGATTCCTGAATTAATTCACATTAGAAACTTGGCTGCACAATCATATCGAATGAAGATTCCAGCTGGCCATTCTGATGCCACCATGCCCCTCTCTTTCCAATCTAAATAATTTTAAGATGTAGTCCAGGACTCAAGGCTAGGATTGTTTCCATATAATTTCCTGGGATGAATTTAAAGAACCCATTTAGTAGGCTTAATATTTGTAAGTTCAGCTCTTTCTATTCATAGCATTTTAACACGAATTCATTCTTGATGCCAAAATATTTTAATGGTTTATATTTTGGCACTAGCGTCCTGAGATATTACTTCTTCAAAATGAATGAAATCTCTGTCTATTGTTATTTCAATACTGAGTAATTAGACAGCAAGGATGAGGTTTTAATATTGATTTTTTTTCCCCCAAAGGCTTTTTTTTCTTGGAAAAAAAGGATCTCCACATGCTTTCACTATTTGTTTAAAAACTAATAGAGTAAGGATATTTATTTTCCAAGAAATCCCACTTGTTTTGGCAGTCGTCTTAAAGACAGGCCTCTGTGCGCATTAAGACCAAAGTTATGCAATGCCTTATTTATATCCTAGTTACACCCACACTGCGCCTGGCCCCAGTATAAATCAAAAGAGTTTCAACTGCAATTATATCCCATATACAGGAGAAGCTGTCAACACTGGGGCAAGGGAAGGACTCAGCCTCTCCCAAAACTCACCTCAGAACTGCCTCAGAGCAAAGTGTGCTCAGCTCCTCTTGTTCTCAAATGGGCAAAATGTGGCAAAGAGCAGAACCCAATCCAACCCTTGAGGTTGTGGTGTGTCGAGAACCTTCTAAATGATGGGTCCAAAGGCTACTGTTGATGGCTTTCTGTAAAGGAAAGAATTGTGCAAATTAATTGGCTAATTGCTTAAGTCAGCTATTGTGCTCTTATTAAAACCTTCTTATTATTGCCTTTGAAAGGTAATATTCAAAAATATTGTTTGGATTTCATGTATCTTGTTTGTCAGAATGTAGTCTGATGGTCATTTGTTTCTTTCACACACTAGCACCAGAAGCCAAGGAGTCAAGAAATGGGGTTCTGCCTCCATCAATCCCTCCTCCCTGATACTATCGGCATACACTCTTGTCTTCTATTTTACAGAAAAGATCACAAATTCCCTCAAGAAATGTCTTTTCTCCACCTCCAGTTCTGCATGTTTTCACCTCCTCTTTCTTCCTTCACTCACCTTCCAACCTCTCCAGCCTTGGTCCTTGAGCCTATCTCTTCCCGCTACCTTGAGGCCTCGCTCCATCATTTCACTTCCTTTAAATTTTCAGTCTCCCCTTGTCACCTGATGAATTCCCTTCTGCCTGCCAGACTAGAACATATTTTCCTATATTTTACTTATCAGTCTGGTTTTCCAGGTTTAGATCTTTGTCCCACCACTCGTTGAATAGGGCAGCCTTTCCCCATTGGTAAAAAGCCACTTTTATCATATACAAAACCCCCATGTGTACATGGGATTGGATCTATCCTCCCCATTGTTCTGTTTCTATTTCTACATTAACCACATAGTTCTAAATTACTATAGGTTAGTGTATATTTTTAAATGTTTCTTCTTTTAAACTTTCTTTAGCTATTCTTATATACTCTTCTTACTAATAAACTTTATAATCAGCTCAGCAAATTTCTTTTTTTTCATTGATAGAGTCACTTTTATTGAGAAATATAGTTTTAGGAACCAAATTTCTTTAATAAAATTCCATTTGAATTTTGTTTAGGATTTTGTTGAATTTACAGATCAGTTCAGGAAAAATTAAAATCTTTGCAATGAGTATTCCTATCCCATTCCCATGAAAACATCCCCAGCATGTTTTCTTCATGTAGATTTTACATGTTTTGTCAAATTTGTTCTTAGCTATTTTGTACCTTTTCTGTGTTTTCTTTTAAGAGTCAAGATTATACACATACCTTATAAAAAATATTTATTTGGCTGCATCAGGTCTTAGTTGCAGCACGTGCGATCTTCCTTGCGGTATGCGGGATCTTTCACTGTGGTGCATGGGCTCTTTGTTGCGGCACGTGGGCTTCTCTCTAGTTGTGGCATGGGCTCTAGAGCACGCGGGCTCAGTAGCTGTGGCATGTGGGCTCTCTAGTTGTGATGCATGGGCTCCAGACCGTGGCAGGCTCAGTAGTTGTGGCGCGCAGGCTTAGTTGCCCCACAGCATGTGGGATCTTAGTTCCCAGACCAGGGATCGAACCTGCGTCCCCTGCATTGGAAGGCAGATTCTTGACCGCTGGACCACCAGGGAAGTCCCTCTGTGTGTTGTTAATAGATGTTTTCTCTAATCCATATACAGGAAATAAAGAAAATTGTATGTTTAACTTATACGGGGCTACCTGACACAATCTTGTTCTTACTATTTCGTTGATTTTCAGTTTGACTGTCTTAGTTTTTAGGTATGACAATCAGAAACAAATACTAGTTCCCCTCAACTTCACTTTTCCCCTTAAATATTTATACATTATATCTTTTCTTCCCACCAACTTTTCTATATCACATTTCTTTTTATTGCTTTATTTCATTTGCTAGGTTTTCCCAAAAAACATTGACTAATACTTGTGAAAACAATCATTCTTGTCATGTTCCTAATGGTATTGGGAATTCTTCCAAGTATAATGACTTCTGTAGGTTCACGTAGATAAGCTTTATCGAGAAAGTTTCCATCTATTCCTAGCTTACTAGAATTAGATATTTTTAAATTTAGGAAAAAGTTTAATCAAATGGGGTTTAGAAATCTATTTAATCTCCTTTATGAATCTAGTGAAATATATTAATAAATATCCTAATGTTTATCTATAGAATCAGTTGGGAAAATTTCCCCTTTCTTTTTATGTTCCAGAAGAGTTACTTAAGGTCTTTGGTAAACTCACCCATAATCCCACTTGGATTTGGTGCTTTTGGGGGGGCAAAATCATAAAACCCCTAGAACATAACATAGTAGAATACCTAGATGACCTTTGTTATGGTGATGGTTTTTGAGATACAACATCAAAGGCACCACCCATGAAAGAAATAATTGATAAGCTAGACTTCAAATTAAAAACTTCTCCTCTGCAAAAGACAATGTAAAGAGAATGAGAAGATGAGACACTTCTCGTAAAGGACTGTTATCCAAAATATGCAAAGAACTCTTACAACTCAACAGTAAGAAAAAAACCCAATTAAAAAATGTACTAAAGATCTTAACAGACACCTCACCAAAAGAAAACATACAGATGGCAAATAAGCATATGAAAAGATGCTCCGCATCATATATCATCAGGGAAATGGCAAATTGAAACAACAATGAGATACCACTACACACTATTAGAATGCCCAAAATCTGGAATGCTAAAAACACCAAATGCTGGTGAGGATGTAGAGCAATAGGAACTCTGCTTTATTGCTGGTGGGAATGCAAAATGCTACAGCCAGTTTGGAAGACAGTTTGGCAGCTTCTTTCAAAACTAAATATACTCTTACCATATGATCCATCAATCATGCTCCTTGGTATTTACACAAAGGAGATGAAAACTTATGTCCAAAAACATGCACATGGATATTTCAAGCAGCTATATTCAGAACCATCAAAACTTGGAAGCAACCAATATGTCCTTCAGTAGATGAACTGCACTAATTAACTGTGGTCTATCCAGACAATGGAATATTATTTGTGCTAAAAAGAAACGAGCTATCAAGTCATGAAAAGACATGGATGAAACTTAAATGCATATTACTAAGAAAGAAGCCAATCTGAAAAGGCTACATGTTGCATGATTCCAATTATGTGACATTCTGTAAAAGGCAAAACGGGCAAAAACAAAAAGATCAGTGGTTGCTAGGGGTTAGGGTGGGGGGAGGGTTGAATAGGCAGAGTACAAAGGATTTTTAGGGCAGTGAAAATACTCTGTATGATATCATAAAGGTGGACACATGTCATTATACATTTGTTCAAACCTATAGAATGTACAATACTAAAAGTAAATCCCAATGTAAACTATAGACTTTGGGTGATTATGATGTGTCAATATAAGTTCATTAATTATAACAAATGTACCACTCTGGTGGGGATGTTGATAATGGGGGAGGTTATGTATGTGTGGAGGCAGGGGGTATATGGGAAATCTCTGTATCTTCCTATCAGTTTTGCTGAGAAGCTAAAACTTCTCTAAAAAAAGGTATTAAAAAATTATACCACTCACATTCTCTGATCACTGGAAATTAATAATAAAAAGATAGTAAAAATCTAATCAGAAAATTTTAACACTCATCTAAATAATTCTTGTGTTAAATAGGAAATAAAAATGGAGGTTAGGAATAATCTACAAGTCAATAATAAATGAGAAAATAACATGAAAACCAATGTAATGTAGCTAAAGTAGTACTCTGAAGAAAATTTATAGTTTTAAAATGCATTTATTGGGGGGAAAGTTCAAAACCAATAAACTAAGAATTCAAACCAGGAAGGCAGAAAAAGAACATCAAAATAAACCCCCCAAAAGGAAGAGATTCATAAAAGGAAGGAGAAATAAATGAAGTTTAAAATAATTTAATCAATAAAACATTTTCTTTGAAAATATCTATAAAATAAACCACTGGAAAGTCTGACTGAAAAGCATAAATAACATAAAGAATGAGAAAGGAAAAATATCAGAATAAAAATTTTAGATCAAATGGGATTGGACAACTTCATATCAACACAGTTTAAAATGTAGATGAAATGGACAAATCTCTAGGAAAATATAAATTATTAAACTCTACTCAAAAAGAGGTAGGAAATCTGAAAAGACTAATAACCAGACAAAAACAGAAAAGATTGTAAACAGTCAAACCCCCAAAATGTACCAAATCCAAGTGGGACTATGGGTGAGTTCAACAAAGACTTTAAATAACTCTTCTGGAACATAAAAAGAAAAGGGAAAATTTCCCAACTCATTCTATACATAAACATGATCCTTCTATTCCCAGTCTATGATCTATTTTGGGCTGATTTTTGTGAAGAGTGTAAGGTCTGTGTCTAGATTCATTTTTTTTTTTGCACATGGATGTCCAGTTGTTCCAGCACCATTTGTTGAACAGATTATCTTTGTTCCGTTGTATCACCTTTACTCCTTTGTCAAATATCAGTTGACTAATTTTATGTAGGTCTATTTGTAGGCTGTCTATTCTGCTCTTTGGTCTCTCCATATAAACTTTATTTTTTAAAACATTTATTTTATTTATTTTTTGGTTGCATCAGGTCTTAGTTGCGGCATGTGGGATCTTTCATTGTGACACAGGCTTCTCTCTAGTTGTGGTGTGTGGGTTTTATCTCTCTAGTTGTGGCATGTGGGCTCTCTAGTTGAGGCACGTAGGCTCAGTAGTTGTGGTGGGCTTAGTTGCCCCACGTCATGTGGGTTCTTAGTTCCCTGACCAGGGATCGAACCCAAGTCCCCTGCATTGGAAGGAAGATTCTTTACCACTGGACCTCCAGGGAAGTCCCCATATAAAATTTAGGGTCAGTTTGTTAATAGCTACAAAAGAAGTTGCTGAGATTTTTACTAGGATTGCACTGGATCTATAGATCAAGTTGGGAAGAACAGATATTTTGATAATATTGCGTCTTCCTATCCATGAACATGGACTATCTCTCCATTTATTTAGTCCTTTGATTTCACTCATCAGAGTTTTGTAATTTTCTTCATAGAGACCTTGTGCATATTTTTTTAGATTTATACCTGCATATTTAAGTTTTTTGGATCTTAATGTAAATGGTACTATGTTTTAAACTTCAAATTCCACTTGTTCCTTAAAAGAATATAGGAGGGCTTCCCTGGTGGTGCAGTGGTTGAGAGTCTGCCTGCTGATGCAGGGGACACGGTTTCGTGCCCCGGTCCGGGAAGATCCCGCATGCCACGGAGCAGCTGGGCCCGTGAGCCATGGCCGCTGAGCCTGCACATCCGGAGCCTGTGCTCTACAACGGGAGAGGCCACAACAGTGAGAGGCCTGCATACTGCAAAAAAAAAAAAAAAAAAAAGAATATAGGAAAGTGATTGATTTTCATATATTAACCTTGTACCTTGCAACCTCACTATAATTGCTTATTAGTTCCAGAAGTTTTTTTGTTGATTCTAATTTTCTACACAGATGATCATGTCATCTGTGGACAAAGACAATTTTATTTCTTCCTTTCCAACGTGTATACCTTCTCTTTCTTTTTCTTGTCTTGTTGCTTTAGCTAGGACTTCAAGTACAATGTTGAATAGGAGTGGTGAGAAGGAATATTTTTGCCTTGTTCTTGATCTTAGTGGGAAAGAACTGGTATAATTTTTAATGTTTTGGAATTTGTTGAGATTTTTCTTTGTGGAGTAATATGAGATAAATTTTTATAAATTTAATGAATTTGAGGAAAATTAATTATTTGGGGGCAAAATATATATTTATATATGCATGTACATATATACACATATACCTATATGTACATATACCTATGGATCAAGCTTGTTAATTAAGTTATTCAGATTTTTCATATCGTTCTTTTTCAGTTGATATAAATCACTATTTTCCTAGAATCATAGCTCTTAGAACTGTAAGGGACTTCAAAATAATCAGATCCAGATAAGCAAAATATTGTTATCTCATGTTATAGTTGAGACATTGGAGGCACAGAAAGATTAAGTGATTTACCAAAAGATACACAGCTAATGAATAACAAAATGAGAATTAGAAATATAGAACATGATAAATATAATTAGCACTACTGTACGTTATATATGAGAGTTGTTGAGAGTAAATCCTAAGAGTTCTCATCACAAGGAAAAAAATTTTTTCTTATTTCTTTAATATTGTATCTATATGAGATGATGGATGTTCAGTAAATTGTTGTGATAATCATTTCGTGTTGTATGTAAGTCACGTCATTATGTTGTACACCTTAAACTTGTCCAGTGCTGTATGTCAATTATATCTCAATAAAACTGGAAGAAAAAATTGAGTATTAGAGCCCAGGCCTTTGCAGTGCAACTATAAACAGGATGCCTGTCAGGGAAGGTGTCCATTACCCTTCCTGTCTGAAGATAGATGGCATTAAAAATGTAGATCAATGTTATATTCAAGAACTGTTGTTACTAATTAGAATGTTGACTGCATACTCAATAAGATGCCTGTGTGTTTATATTTACCTAGAAAAGTAGAAGGTGAAATCTTCACGTTGGAGATGCTACTTGAAGATTTTAAAGAGAAAATTAATAAAGGCAAATATACTTCAGCTGTCTCTCTTCCCGTGAGTTCTCAAATCAACCTGGATGACTTGTCATCCACATCCTCTCCATCCTCAAATGAGGTAATATAGCAGCCTACAGCCTAATTTCATGCCAAGAAAAATGGTTTTTATGTATTTATGGAATCCTAATTAATGGAATCACTAAATTCTATCTTAACATTTCATGAAAATTTAACTTTCCAAAGGCCTATGAATCATATTATATAAAGTGGAACCAGCTTTTAAGAATTAGAAGCTATTTCAAGTGTTGGTTTTTGAAATATCTTATTGGTTTAGGATGTAACAATGCAGCTTAAACTGATGAACTGCTAAAGAGCTATTTCTTCTGGATGAATAGTAACATTTTTTGTAGATCTTGATTGCCTGGGAGAAATAATTTTTCTTCTTAATAGTTTTGTACTATTTCTGCTACATAAAGAATAACACACTCAGTGAAAGAACCATTTCTCATGAGTCCACTTCTACATTTTCTTTCTCTCAAGTTAAATTCTTTTGGATTGTCTACATATGCAAAACCAGGAATTCAAATCAATTACCAGTGTCTTTCTATAGTACTTTTTGTAACCTTAACTATCAGAACATTTCAGAATACATGAAAATTCTGACAAATGGAATCGTCTGGATAATTGCCTTAAATTGACTGTATTTGAAGACAGAGCCCATGGCTGTTATTCAAAACTTGAATAGGTTTTTGTCAGAGTTTAGGACAGGATATTGAAGATTATATAAATGTTAGCCCTTCCAAACCAGTATGTTTGCCTCCTCAAAACCCTTACCTGCCTGGCAAAATCCCATTCATTCAAGGCCCATCTTCAGAGTTAGCCCACTAACTCTGAAGGTTAGTTATATAACCTTGATGCATAGCCGCCCACTCCAGGCAGGATTCTTCATCCCAGCCTCTGTGCCCCCATAGCGTCATGTCTCATTTGTCCTTGTGCCTTTGTACCCATCTTTGTAGCCCGAACAACTGACTGAATGCCTGGTATAGAGTGAGTACTCAGTATAGTAAACTCTGCACCACTGTGGATTTAACAAATGATCCCCAAGGTTCGCAGCTGGTTCTCTCTCTAGTCCTGAACTGAAATTAGCTTCAACATGGTGTGAGTGAGCCTAGTGAGGCAGCCCAGGCTCCTGCTCAGCACTCCCCTCAGGTCTGGGTTTGCTCTTCTTAACTGGCCCCAAGTGTATAGCAACTGTTGTGAGATGATGAGGACTCTATAACTTTGTGATAAATAGCCCTGAAAAGAGAGTCTACCTCTAGTATTAACCATTCATTCAGTAAATATTTCTTGCTAAATGCTAGGCACTTTTCTAGGTATTGGGGATACAATATAAACAAGGCAGACAAACCACCTGCCCTCAAGATGCTTACATTTCCATGAGGGACACATACAACAAACAGATAAAATTAACGTGGAATTACAGAATGTTAAAAGTGCTATGTAGGTGCAAGTAATAATGCATTCCTTAGGACTGTGAAGCCAGACTGCCTGGGTTCAAATATCAATATGAGCTCTGTCATTAATCAGCTTTGTGACCTTAAGAAAGTTATATAAACTCTCCGTGCCTCAGTTTCCTCCTGTATAAAGTGAGGATAATAATATCTGTCTAAGCTTCCAACTCCTTTAGCAAAAAGTCTTTGCAAACTGTAAAGGTCTGAGCCAACGGAACTATTATGTCTACTATAATTTTGTCATTATCATTTTAGACCCAGGGGTTTTTAATTCCATTATTTCTAATTCCTTTATAATGAAATATCTCAAAGCTGGCCCCCAGACCAGCAGCATTGGCTTCACCTGGCAGCTTCTTGGAAATTTTAATGATATTATTAGGACGTTTAAATGAGTTAATATACGTACTTAAAACAGGGCCTGGCTCACAGTAAGCACATTATCTGGGTGTTAGGTACCGTGACAATTAGGTGATGGGATATGACCAAAAGTAACTCACAGTGGGAGGGTAGGGTCAGAGGTGAGATCTGAATTGAGTACTGGGGGATAAGAATGAGGTAGCTAAGTGAGGAGTCCGGGGAAAGGGACTCCAGGCAGGATGTGATGGTGCCTTAGGGGTGGTGTGGAAATGGAGAACCCATTTTGAGTCACCTCCTGTGCAACAGCAGCCCTAATGGCAAGTCCCTCTCTGCGGCTCCCCAGTTACCCAAGGAGCATCCTGGCCATCCTGCGTGGCGCCGGGGCCATGTGGGTGAGAGGCGACAGGGCGCCGCCCCCACCCCCCACCGGCACAGACACAGGAGGCCCCCTCTTCCGAGGAACTTGACAGGCTGGTCCCACAGCCCAGCAAAGAGGGCAGCGACGGGCCCCTCCCGAGGGTCCGAGAAGGGAGACGTGGACTTGGACCACCGCTTCCACCTCCGGGAGCCTGGCTTCCTTGGGGGCCCTCTCTCCGTAGAGACGCCCAGGGGAGGGAGGGTGGGAAAAGGGCAAGTGGTCACTTGGCCCCACTGTCCCAGGAGTGCTGAAATTAAATTCCCAGTGACTCTTCACCAGATTAAACAAAACCCAAATAATCCCCCAAAGTGGGGCGCCCAGGTAGCTCAAGAACTGACTCTAAAATTCAAAATGCTTTTTTTTAAAAAAAAAACAAAACTAGACTAACCAGATCAAATGACCATGAGGTTGTCTTCGGCTTCCGGAGTAACGTCCTGCAGCCCCATCCTGGCTCTGCTCAGTTCATTGCCTTGGCTCTTTAACCAACCAGTATGGCTGAACGTGACTCTGAAATTGGCATAATTAAGATCACTTGGCTCTTATACTAACCGGCGCCCTGGGTGTTAGTGCTGGTGAGAGCTGCCTGTATTGCTAACCCTCTCCACTCTTTCAGAACTCAGGAGAAACCTGCCTGAAGTACCTGTTCTAGATCAGGGCTTCTGCAACTGCAGTCTGCCGTGGACTCACCTGCAGATCTTCCTGAAACGCTGGCTTTGATTCGGTAGGTCTGGGGTGAGCCGGCAATTCTGCATTTCTAACAAGCTCCCAGGTGATGTCAATGCTGCTGGTCTGGGGACCACACTTTGAGATGATTTCATTATAAAGGAATTGGAAATACTGGGATTAAAAGCCCTGGGTCTAAAATAATAATGACAAAATTATAATAAGCAATAAACAGCAATAATTCTGTTGGTTTGGAGTTTTGCTGTTTGCATAGACTTTTTGCAGAAGAAAAATTGGAAGCTTAGAAAGGTGAAGAGATTTGCCCAGTGCAAATGACAGGAGACACTGGATCCCAGGTCTCCCAGTTCAGGCGGAGGGCACCCCCCCTACATTCTGCTAATGTAAATCTGCCTTAACTGTGAAGTGCGAAGATACTCCCTGAAGGCCCAGAAGTAATAAAAGAAAACACAGGGGAAAAATGAAGCAAAAAAAACCTCATTATTTTTTAAATTATAAAAGTGATACAGGCTTATTGCAAAAAAATCAGAAAATAGAGAAAAGTATACAGAGGAACATTTCACTGACAGAAAAACCATTGCTAATATTTTAGGGTATATCTGGTCTTTTTTTTTCTCTGATACACATACACATTTTTACAAAAATGGGATCATACATGTATTGGGGGCTTTTTTAAGAATTTTTGATGTGGACCATTTTTAAAGCCTTTACTGAATTTGTTACAATATTACTTCTGTTTTACGTTTTGGTTTTTTGGCCGAGAGGCATGTGGGATCTTAGCTCCCCGACCAGGGATTGAACCCGTGCCCCCTGCATTAGAAGGCGAAGTGTTAACCACCGGACCGCCAGGGAAGTCCCCATACATGTATTGTTTTAGGATATGCTTTTTACATTTAACATTATATTGTGGGCCTCTCAAAAGTTATTGAATAAACCTACAGCTTCATTTTTAAGGACTGCACTGTATTTCATTGTATGGGTGTACCCTGATTCATTAAACCAATCCCTTATTGATGGACATTTAGTTTTTTCCACTTCTTTGATATTAGAAACACTGCTTCAGTAAAATCATTTTATATGCAAACCTTTGGCTATAGTTGATTAGTTCCTTTGAATAAAAACCTAGGGTTGCAGTTAATGGTTCAAAAGATACACAGTGAAAATTTGGATAAACTGGCCTTTAGCAAAGTGGTGCCCACAACAGTGCCTGGGAGTGAAGGTGCCTTCCAACCTGAGCCAAACCAGGGTATCTGTTTTCTTTTTCTCTCCAACCTTTGCTAAAGTGATAAAGGAAAACTGATACCTCATTGTGTTAATTTGTATTGCTTTGACTATTTGTGAAATTTACCCATTTTCATATGTTTCTTGGCCATTTCCACCACCTCTTTGACAATGTCAACATTTCAACTAATGTTTGCAAAACTGAAACCACAGTAAATCTTTTTAAGAAAGGCAGACAACTTGGAAAATAGTAAGAGCAAACACTGTTCAGGATGAAGATTTTTATCATACAAAGTTGCTCTGACAAGGGCACGAAGGAGCAGTAGCTCTGTGGTTAAGGACACAAGTGTACGGGGAAAGGCTCAAATGCCAGCTCTGCCACTCACTCTGTGTGACCTTGACGAGCTGCTTAAATTCTCTGAGCCGCAGATTATTCATCACTAAAATGGGGACGACATGCCAGGATGGTGGTAAGGAATAAAGGAGGTGATATGAGAGGTACTTGGCACAAGGAGCAATCAACAAATGGTTGTTTTTATGAATAAGAAAACACTGAAACCCTCCAAAAAATTAATGGATAAAAGATTAGAACTGAAAGTCACAAGTAGGATATACAACCAATAAATAAACATATGTGGAAATGTTTATCTCCTTTAATAACAGAGGAAATGTTAACACAGGGAGCCACCCCTACTTTTTAAATTAACATTTTCAAGGGATAACTCCTGATGCAGAGGAAGGTGTAGACAAACGAGCCACCAACGTTGATGGTGGCTCTGTAATTCGTATAGCTTTGGTGGAAAGCAATTAGGCCACACGTATCATCACACAAGCACTTTCACAACCTTCGACCCAGACATTTCCTAAGGAAGTAATTCAAAATATAGAAAAAGCTGTCTGTACAATGATGCTTATTTCTCACTATTGTTTATAATGGTGAGAAAAGTACGTTTATTTTCTGTTTACATAAAGGGTAAAACCATAGTAAGGGTGGTGTCAGCCTTTTCAGTTCCATAGTGTGATTTTTGTGTGTGTGTTAAACAGGGACATATAAACAATCATTTAGGCCTCTAGATAGTCCCTAAACCTTGTTTTAATTCATAGTTAAATACATTGCTTTGGAAAGGCTTTTAGATTCTGCTAACCAGTGGTCAGATTGAAGGATTTAAAAATCATCTTAAATTGGTTCATCCTCTGGTGGAGCTTGGTGTAATTTGAAACTAAAGGAAAGAGAAAACAGGGTGGGGAGAGTATTCTCTCATCTGTACTAGATTTTTAAATGTCTGGAGAAGGAAGGAAGTCAAGGCAGGGTGGAAGCTTTCTTTCTCTAAGCCCCAGGCCGTTACAGCACAGGCCCCACTGAGCCAGAAATCAGAGTGGAGTCCTGAGATGGTGAGTTTGGCGGGGTCCGCGCGGCTTGCTGGGCTGTGCCTGAGCAGCCGAGGGGTGAGTCACTTCCTCGGTCACATCCACATCTGTGTGTGCTCTGTGGTGCAGGAGGAGCCTAACAGTGCTGCGGGGAGGCAGGACAGCACAGAGACGACCGGTGCAAGCTGTGCCTTCTGCCACCGGGTCCTTGAATGGTGAGGGCTTCCAGCTGCTAAATTCCCAGGGTGGGTGGGAGCCGGTCCTGGGATAGTAACTCCAGTGAGGATGGGCATCAACTAACTGAACAGGTGCCAGCAGCCATGGGCCGAGTTATAGAATCGCAGATCTCAGGGCTGGACACGCAGCCCGGTCTCCCTCCCAACTGACAAATCCCTGTAGCAGCGGCTCTCAACTGCGGAGAGCATCAGCCTTACCAGGGCACTTGAAAATAATGCACACGCCTCAGCCCCACCTACTGTATCAGCCTCCCCGGGGTGAAGCCCTGGTGGGAATCTTTTTTTAATATTTATTTATTTGTTTGTTTGTTTATTTTGGCTACGTTGGGTCTTTGTTGCTGCGCGCGGGCTTTCTCTAGTTGCGGCGAGCGGGGGCTACTCTTCATTGTGGTGCGCGGGCTTCTCATTGTGGTGGCTTCTCTTGTTGCGGAGCATGGGCTCTAGGCACGCGGGCTTCAGTAGTTGTGGCGCATGGGCTTAGTTGCTCTGCAGCGTGTGGGATCTTCCCGGACCAGGGCTCGAACCCGTGTCTCCTGCATTGGCAGGTGGATTCTTAACCACTGCGCCACCAGGGAAGCCCGGGAATCTTTCTTTTAAATCTCCCCCAGATGATTCTGATAGGCCTCTTGGTTAAGAATCATGACCACAGCGTATGGAGGGTGGTTTGGCCTTTAGGCTCCCTTTGAACCTTGCCCATGTGGGAGATTATTATACACCATTGTGTAGCAGCTCGCAGCCTCACTACTCTCTCCTCACAATGAATGAAAACTTACCCTGTTGGGTCCCACCTCTGCCCCCCCAGTGCCACCGGAAATAAGCCTAATCCCGTGTCCCAGGGTTTACTTCTCCACATCCCTCAGCAAGAAATCTTCCGGAGGTGACAAGCTGTAAATCGGGTAAAAAGCTGTAGAGGTGAAATCCTAAGGAGAAATTCTTAATGGTTTTGAAACACTCTTTGGTCAGCTGTTAGCCCGCGTGGATTCAGAATCATTTATTTGAAGCTTCTATCAGAGAGCAAGAGGCGCCTCCTCCAAGCTTGAGAGGCACTGTGGACTGGAGCCAAAGCTTGGCTAATTGACCTTAGGAAGGTGGAGAGGCAAGGAGGGAGGGGCTGTTTAGCCACCACTATTACCTGAACATAATGGATTCGAATAGAGGCAGATGACAAGGTCTGAAAGACTGAAGTTTCCTGTTGGAAAGCATGCCAAGCACGGAATGAGCACTTGTCATAAGGGTCCTATTGAGTTTCCGCCCTCTAAAAAAAGAAACAGCATGGTTTTGTGGTTAAATATCCGTGTGTCATCTGGTGTGAACCATTATTTTAAACCAACATGTCCATCATCAGCTTTGACTCTCCTTTCAATACAAAGGTCACAAATGATGCCAAATCCCTGAGTCATCCCAGATCCACTATTTTTTTTAATTGAATTAAAACCTACGTTTTGACATTTTTTTTTAGGTTTTAGTAAGCATAATAAAAATAGCTTGACATTAAAAAAACGTTTTGATTAAGCTTTCAAGATACTAAATATTTCTCTTCCAAATTCATAGTCTAGACCTCACAGAACCACTAAAGTAGCAAGACAGGGACTGGCATTCTAGACTACATTTTCTCTTTTATAATGAACAAGATGGAAGGCAAAACACAACCAAGTGTAAAATCAGATCTAACAGTAAATCAACTGCTGGGGTGTGATGTGGCGATATGCATGATTCATAAATTGAAATCTTGGTAAACTATATCATCCCTGAGGAATTAATTGAACAGAGGGTTATATATACTCTTTACTCTTTTAGAAGATTAGCTCTCTCTCAGATGGGATGTGTTCTTTATTTAGCCTACTGATGTACGTACTGTTTGAAGGATATTTATATATATGCAGATAAATAACATATATACTATGTGTAAAATGCTTATCCCTTTATGTCTGATGCAGAATTTTGGATTTAAGAGTACACTTCAGCTACTTGGTCTTGTTGAAAAACTGTCTTCTCAAGTAGAACCGCCCTTAACTGTTTTTGGCAAGAAGATTTTAGTGCACAAAGAAGTTTAAAAGAGGCAGAAAAAGAAACTCATGTGTTGGACTAAACTCACTTGAGTGCCATCCAAGTTTTCCACTTTGGAGAGCAGATGTTCAAATGCCCCAGAGGAGGAGGGTGGAGACAGAAAATGAGGTGTGAGAAAATATGTGACTCATGAGGAGAGCATATTTTTCCAAGAAGAGGGAAAGGGCCTGGCTTCTCAGCCCCCAACCTCACAAACTCCAAGCACTGCGCCTCTCTCCACCAGCAGCAGGCCCAGGCACAGTGGGACATGCACACATTTGCAAGCAAGGCCTGAGGCTCAAACTCCATCCCCGGCAATCAGTCTCATTCCTGACTCACTGGCTACATCCAGGACATCTTGGGCTACATCCAGGACGTCTTGGGCACGGTGCCCTCCAGGCTAAGAATGAGCAACGTTCCCTAGGGGCTATTATAGTATTCCAGGGGCTGAGCTAGAGCTTTCTTAAGAATTGCTGTCAACTAAAATTCCTTTGGAGGAGTTAGAATTTCTGTGAAGAAGGGAGACAGAAGCTACAGACAAGTCGGAGGAAGTGTCCCGGTAAATGACAATCGAAGGGCATCTTTCTGATGCCCCCTGGTGGCCTTGCACAGCTAAAATTAACCCCACATGCTCTCATAGCCTTTAGCCCCATAGACACTGGACAAAATCCACCTTGCTGTAATTTTCGGATCTCTCAGCTAGTGCTTATGGATCCAAAGCCATGTGATCTGGTATTGACATGTAGTACAGCTTCTTCCCCTGATAAGAACTGATTTTGAGACAATGAATTAAACTCCAAATTTTATAATTCCATACTTCAAATTTCTATATTGTTTATGTGTATCATGACCAGATATTATCCTCAGGGAAACAAAACAGATTTACTTTTAATGTTTGGTATGCATGTTCTTTTCAGGCCAAATTGAGCTGGGTGCACTTTCTCACGGGGAAGCTCTCAAACAGGCAGGCAGAGGGATAGCTGTGTTGAGGATGACATGCATCCTCCATCATTCCAGGCTCTGACATAAGAAATTTCACATTTCAGTTTTACCAGACCTCTCACTATCGCTATTAGCAGTATACTAAAAGTTTATGGGATTTTATGCACCTTTTTTAGGAAGCAAAAAATGGAGAAAAAAGGCCACAGAGGAATCAACCGTGGAAGGTTTCCTGTTGCCATTCAAGACAAGGCACGGCACCCAGACTCAGTTCTCGGTAAGTTGAGGGGTCTGGGGCCAGTCGTCATGATCCCTCTCCTTGGGGTCCACTCACTGCCAGCAGACCATGTGCCACGTCAAATAGCTTTACTTAGACTAGGGTGTTGCACGTTGGTTATTATTATTATTGTTGCAAAATGTAAAGAATAATGAATTGATTCAAATGAGATGTGGTCAAGCAGGGTGAAAGTGCCCACACCTGTCTCTGCCTGGAGTCACAGGGCTCCGTGACTCAGTCACGAGGCGGCCTCAGTTCTGCATGGCAGCCCCCCAGCATGACCCGTAATCTGCACCTTGGGAGCTCCCCCGCCACGGGACAGTTGCTGCTGACTTGTCCATACACATTTCATAGGAGCAAAGAAAGTTAGAGTGGGGAGCAGACCCAGAGAGCACCAGTGCATGGAATCCAATGAGTTTTAGTCATAGGGGCCCTTCTCCAAAGATAATTTAAGCAGAAAAACATCCCCTGGCAGGACTGCCCTGGGTGAGGAAGAGGTGGAGTTGAGGCCTGCTGGCTTAGGTAGCTCCTGAGAAGAAAATCAGCGGCCGAGCCTAATCTACCCAGTTTATACAGCAGGAAGCTGGGGGCCAGAGAGCTAACCAGGCTTGCTTTTTCCTTCAACTCAGTATTCTTCCTGTTATGACACATTTGGTTCTATTTCTGCTCTGTAGATGACACATTTTCTAATAATAATAGTAGGTTTAATCGATCGAACAGTTACTGTATACCAGACACCAGAACAGAGTAGAGATTTTCAAAGTGTGGTCAGAGGGCCCCCGGGGGGCCGTGAGGTCCTCTCTTTTCTGTGCAAGAACAATATTTCAACAGACTGAATGGAGATACAGCTATAAAGTCCAGCTGCCTTCTGTTAAGCTAGATGTTTTAGAAATTTGCCAAAACGTAAAACACTGCCATTTTACTCACTTTTTTTCAAAAATAGCTATTTTTCATAAAAAATGTTATTTTGTGAACATGAAGTGATTATTACTGTTTTTAAATGACAAAGTATTTTTTAAATGCTTCAGTTTAAAATTCTGAAAAAAAAAAAAAGCTTTGAGACTGCCCATTTAGTCTTAGGAAAATCTGAATGATTCTACACAGCAAAAATGACTTGAAATTTATAAATACCTCTCTACCAAGCCACATTCAGTTGACTGAATGTTGTATGACAGCTCTTCTCCAATGCAAGGGGAGGGTGGATTTTTACTACAGGTATAAAAAATTTCATATATTATATGATAAAAACTATAATAAGCAAAAGCTCTTTAGGGTTCTCAATTTTAAGAGTGTAAGTAAGAGTGTTCCGAAATTAAAGAACTGAGAATGGTTGACATATAGTGTACATCACTTGACTATCATAATACCCCTGTAAGGTAGGAATTATTATCTTTATTTTATAGATAAGTAAATGGAGGCTTGGAGAAATTAAGTGACTTGCCAGGGTCAAAGAGCCTGGTGTGTTATTTATTGCTGTGTAATGATGTATCCCAAACCTTAATGGCCCAAAACAACAAACATTTGCTATCTCATAGTTTCTGCAGGTCAGGAATTTGGGAGCCATTTAGCTGGGTGGTTCAGGTTCAAGGTCTCTCATGAAGCTGCAGTCAAGACGTTGGCCAATACTGCCATCATCTGAAGGCTTGACTAGGGCTAGAGAATCTGCTGCCAAGATTGTTCACACACATGGCCACTGGCAGGAGGTCTCAGTTCCTCACCATGTGGACCAAAAGGCTGCTTGAGTGTCATTAAGACAGGGCAGCCAGCTTCCCCCAGGCAAGTGATCCAAGAGAAAGACTGAGATGGAAGTTTCAATGTCTCTTATGACCTAATTTTGGAAGTTATACACCATCGTTACCACTTTATTCTATTTGTTAGAAGCAAGTCACTAAATTGTGAGTTGTCACAATCAAGGAGAGAGGAATTAGGCTCTATCCTTTGAAAAGCATGTTAAAGAATTTGTGGACATACTGTCAACCAATATAGCCAATAAGTGGCAGAGCCAGGCTGCAAATCAGGCCTGTCTGAACCCATGTCCTTTCTCCTGTACAACACAACCTTCCCAGGGTGTAGCTCCTTCTTCCTCTATTTGTAATTTCCTTGACTTCTGGATTAGAAGGCATTCAATGACTATTGACTGAGATTTGGGAAAGAAAACATCCTTCTTAGAGCTCATTCCATTTGTGATTTACACTTTGGAAGATAATGTTACAAATGAGTGTAATCATGAGTGCAGCAAGGCAGGTAGCATTGGCAGAAGCTTTGTCCCCAAGCCTCGTCTCTCCTGGAGCTAAGACGTTGCTTGGACACCCAAGTGTGATGTGCTCACCTGCCGGGCCCATGCTCCCACACTCTGGCCTAACCTGGAGAACTCCACTGCCCACAGCCTACCGAATAAGACTCAGACCTGCACCAGACACACATGCTCTCTACTGCTAGCCTCTCTGTGGTACTGATGAGGGCAAAGCTATGATTCAAGTTCCCATATGGACTCACGAACGTGATGTGAGGAAAACCATCTTTCCAATTGCCTGAATGACAAAACACAAGCTCTTGGCCACCGCAGGGTCTAAGAAGAGAATGTGGATGTATCAGGGCTAATCTGGAAAAATAACTACAAATGCAAGATTGTCTGATAATTCAATGGACGAAATTCTCACAGATCCATCCATTCAGAGGACCTTTACTAAACACCTACATGTGCTAGGCAAATCTTAAGACTTTCCTATCAGAACTGTTTTCTATCAAAACATCTCTCAGTTGTCATAAGGGGAGTCCAAATGTCACCCCTAGGATGGCAACCCCCCTTGGTAAATTTCCCCTTGGGGAAATGGAACACTCTGGGGCCTAATGCATACCTTGCACGATCAGAGCTCTACTCTCCAGAGCATATTTTAGGACTATAATAAAAAAAACTCACACTTCCTTTGTGTAACTTGGGCTTTTTCAGGTTCTGATACAGGACTCAGCTGCTATTCTGCTTCTGGGACTGGACTGCAGAGTAATAAATGTGAGAACTGCAGCACTAAGATTTATAACTCCCAGAGAGTCTGCGGTAAAGCATTATCTAAAGGTGAGAGTGACGGGGCCGCCTCAGAAAACAAGGCATAAATGGGGGCAGCTGTTGCTCCCAGGCAATGAGTTGTATTTTTAATCTTTTCTTTTCAGAATTTCATTACATATTCAACACCCCGGGACAGAATTTCTTTAATCACAGCAAAAGAAGTGCCTTTGCCCAGCTCTGTTATTTAAATGAAAATAAAAATTCTTCACCTTGTAAGTACATCTGCAAGATCCCATCTTTGTACACAACCTAATCTCCCTGCATGGGAGACCTACATCATACCAGCCACTGCTTCCATATGGGGAGCCCCTGCCCTGTTTAGTCTGCCGCCAGGTCTCTAGCACTCATCTAACACTTGCACATCCAGCCTGACACCTGGATGGCAAGAGGCTGGGCTGGGACTGGGAGATATGCAATCCTAGCAATAAAGGACTTTGAAAGTTACTAAGTGCTATACCAGTGTAAGTTGGTAACAAGTCATAAATATTTGCTGAACAAGTAACTGACTGAATAACTGCCACTATTATTGTTATTATTCAGAAGGGGCAAAAGCTTTAGATCTATCCCCACTAAAATTCAGCACATAAATAGACTATTTTACACTCCTTAAACATCATATTGCTAATTTCAATGCAAAATTTTGCTGTCTTTGGAACTAAGTAAAATCCCACAAACATTTATTTATAAAGATGAATAAAACATGGCTCCTTGGGCTTCCCTGGTGGCGCAGTGGTTGAGAGTCCGCCTGCCAATGCAGGGGACACGGGTTCGTGCCCCAGTCCGGGAAGATCACACATGCCACAGAGTGGCTGGGCCCGTGAGCCATGGCCGCTGAGCCTGCATGTCCAGAGCCTCTGCTCCGCAGCGGGAGAGGCCACGACGGTGAGAGGCCCGCGTACCGCAAAAACAAACAAACAAACAAACAAACAAACATGGCTCCTTCCTCCCAAGGAGTTTACAACCTATTGAGAGAAAGGAACTCCTACCCAAATAAGGAAAGTTCATGGAAAAATGTGATAAGAGCTAAGAGCACAGAGTGTGCTAAGGGAACACAAAGGAGGGAAGGGAACACCCTTGTCTTGCTTCTGAATGACAGCTGTGTCTGGTTCTCTGACATCCTTTCCTCATGGGTGAGTTCATACCTTCAGAGCGCTTTCTCTCCATCACTGGGGACAGGGCACCAGAGAGAATGTTTCTGACCTTTCACAACTGCCAATGTCCAAGACTAAAGAATGGTGTTTATCTGGCTGACCTCAGCTATGTCTCCCCTACTCACCCCCAGCTGCCAGATCGTCCAGTTGGATGTGTTCTGTTGAGACGACAGTCCCTAAGACTCTGAAGAAGCAACAGACAGATTTCTTTACTATCGCCTTGGTTTTGGGGTCTACAGCCCACGAGAACTCTTATTCCAACATACGAATGAAGAAAGCAACTGAGTCACTTGAAATGTGATCTTGAACTCCATTAGTAAACATATAGTGGCCAAGAGGGTAGAAGTCCCAGGGAAGCATCTTTTGCTCGGTGTTAGACAGGAACCTCCAGAACGGACAGAAAATGGAGCGGGCTATTGCAGGAGGTCGTGAGTCCCACCTGTAGACTGAGAGACAATGTACTTTGTCAGGATGTTGTAATCTGTAGACTATGAGAACTGGACCAGATGACCCTATGACCCTTTCCAACTCTGAATTTCTATGTTTCAAATAAAATCCACAACTATATTTGGAGGTGACCAAGGGGTTAAGACTGAGCTCATTAGTGCCTCTGTTCGTCATGACTTAAGTCTGGGTACAGCATGACTAAATTTGGACTTTCTGACTTCTGCCCTGCCTTCCGTGTCTCTCCCTGTTCCTTTGTCAAATGGGACCCTCCTGAGGGGGAGTGAAGCCAAGCTACTAGAGACCAGTGGATATGACAGAAGAATGAAGGAGAAAGAGGGGAAGATAGAGAAGAGAGGAGGAGAGGCAAGAGAAAGGGGAGAAGAGAGCCTCAGCGACAGAGAAGGCAGATTTGTTGGCTACTGACTTTCTTCTCTTCCCTCCCCTGGCGTTCTTCTTGTCTTCCATGGTGACATTTATCTTCTTCTCTGTTTAGTCTCTATTTTCTGGAATTGTCTTAGTAACATAATTTAGTTTCTGACTCCTAGAATCCTTGCTCCTAAAGTGGAGAGGACTTTAGAAATCCATTCAGTTCAAACTCTTGGAAAATATTATCCCTCCATTTGCCAGATGAAGAAGTTGAGCCCGTAGACATGCCCAGGTCACACAGCTAGCACCAAGGGAACCTAGAGTCCTGGTCTCTTGTCTGCTAATAAAACTCCTTTTAAATGTTGAATTTCTTTTCTTGAATTCAGAATACTCGATGGCTATTTTCCGTGTTCCCTAGTTTTATTTACTTAGTAAAATTTTATGAAAGATTTCATTCATATAGAAAAGTTCAGGGAATGATACCCATATATCCACCATTTGGGGATCATTTTTGATGCTCTCAATCTGATTAGAGCTAACATTTTTCAGCTCATTCAAAACCAAAATGGATCTGTTTCCAGAGTGCAAATTCAAAATCCTCTCATGATGAATGTGAACTCATACCAGGAGAGTAAGTATGATTAACAAAATGGCTACCCATTGTCTGGATGCATGCAATGCACTTAGTGCATTAGATCACCTGCCCAAGATCACCTAGATCATAAGTAGTAGAGCCAGGATTCAAACCTAAGTCTGGCTAATATTTCAATCATTCAGTTATTCATTCAACAAATACTTGAGTGTCAATAGCAGGACACTGCGCAGGTGCTGAGGACACAGTGACAAAGTCAACTTCTGTCCCTGCCCTTACTTTTTTGGTAGAGGAAAAGGTGGCATATAGAGTGCTATTACCTAATTTGGGGGTTTAGGGAAGCTGAGTTCCAAAGGATGAGTGAAGTAGCAAGGGGATGGGGGAGTAAGAGAGAAGAACATGCCAGTCTAAGAGAGCCTTCGGGTGTGGAAAAGCCCTTGGCAAGTTCAGGAACAATGTAGCTGGAGCCTAAAAGAGGGAGAGGCAGTGGGGGAAAGATGGGGCGGTGAGATGAGCAGGGCCAGGCTGTGCAGGGGCTTGTCAGCTGCATGAAGGATTTCAGACTCTTAGGTATAATGGGAAGCCAATGAGATTTTTTAACCAGAGTGTTTTTTAAAGTTTTCCAGTGTTTTAAAAATCACTCTAACTACTAAGGGAGAGGGAATGGATTAGAGGAGTCAAGGATTGGAGCACAGAGACCAAGTAAGAGGCTAGTACAGTAATCTAGGTGGAATGATGGCAGCTTAGCCAAGGGTGGTAGAAAAGGAAAGAGAGAAGTCTAGTATTCAAGAGCTACTTAGGAGGCAGAATCGACAGTGTAGCTGAGTGACCAGAGTTCAGGCTGTGTGGAGTCACACTCACTCAGTCTGAACCCCACTACTCACTACCACAGTGCAGTGCAGTGTGTATGAATGTAGCCACTGGGGAGTTCTTGGGTTTGTGTCTTGGTTGTGTGTCCTTGGGCAGAGGGAGCACAAACTCCTCGCCCCCCCCCCCACGCCCACACACACAGCCACTACTGGACCACAGAGCTGAGGATGGCACTTTATACAAGTATCTGTGTGCTTTTGCCTTTTTTACAGTTCAGACCTTGCTACACCCTCACCCCATTCCCACTCCTGCAGGATTTCTGAAAGCACATCCTCAACAACTTTACCGGTATCGAAGAAACGGAATCTGAGGTGAGGACTTAGAAAAAAACACTCTAGAATCTTTGCAGCTTGTAAGTTTGGTCTTGATGACCACAAAACTGATGGCTTTTAAATTATTATAGTATGAGAGCATCAGAAAATGCTCTGCTAAAACAACTTGTGCTCAGCACTAACATAAAGACAGCCTGAGCAGCCACATGGTTTGTATTATTCCTAAATTGGTTCCAAGGGATATTTCCTGGAGAAAATGTTTTTTGGGTGGTGCCTCAGCTACAGGATTCCCCGGCGCAGACCTGAAGGCATGCCGCTCACAAGTTTGTTCCAGGGACACTGGGGTTAGAGCTATCAGTAGATTCCTATTTTCAATCAGGTTACTTTCAAATGCTGCCACAGCATGTGCTGCATCCCTGGGTGCCCTCTCAGTGGTTATGGCCCCTAAATCTCCTTCAATGCCCCTCCCCCCAAGAGCTTTTCTTCTTTGTCACGGATCTCTTTTCCACAGCAGGGAAACAGCCCAGCAGGTTGCTGACTTCACCCTCTGATTCATGCTCATCAGTCACGTGTTGGTCTTTTTTCTGTCCCTTTCTCTACAAAATATATTCCATCTCAGACTGGTTTCCTAGGAAACCAAGCCTCAAAAACAGAAATAGACTGGGTGGAAAACAGAATACTCCAAAAATTCCACTTTGCAATGTTCAATAATGAGGGAACCCAATTAACAGAAGCAGTAGTAAATTTATGTAACTAAAACGTGTGGACTTTTCCTCTGTAGATTTTAAACTCGTCTTTGGATCATGCCCTAAGGACAGCAACCATTTTGAAACAAACTACTGATCAAATGATTAGAACTATTGCAGAAGATCTTGCCAAAGTAGAGAGATGGAGGAACAGACTGAAATACTAGTTTGACTCAAGGCAACCAAGGATTAAAAAAAAATGCAGAGAAAACTTGGTCTTCACCCCAGAAGTATTTTACTTATTACACAAACTTATGAAGATGACTTCCTAGAGAAAACACCAAAACTGCAAGAAATGGGGGACACAATGTGCTAAAATGAAACAAAAAATGGACCTCTGATTCTTAAAACTCAAAATCAACACATATTTCCTTAAAAATAAATGTGTTATTCCTAACTCATAATAAAAGAAATCAAAATAATGAAATATACTTTTACCTATTAGTGTGGCAAAAACTAAAGTTTGAAAGGAAGTAAAAATGTGCTTCAGAGATAGTAAATCGTTTCAGTTAGGAGCAACAACGAAAAAAGTCTTTTTCAGGGTCTTGATACCAGAATCTGTAACTGCTCATTCTACTGAGGGTGGAGTGGGGTAGGGAATCAGCTTATAGTAGGAATTTACGTGTGATGACCTCTTATGTCTTCAAATCCAGTAAGAAATTTAGGAAACAAAGGGTCTCTCCAACTCTAAGCCTAAAATGTATGTGAAATTTGAGGCCTAAAATGTAGGCCTCAAAGGATCTCCTATCAGTGTGATAGGGCAGAGTGATCACTGAGGTGTGCAGTGATTGAATGAATGGACCAATGTTTGCTGTCATCACACTCTTAGCTCCATTTGTCACAGGGCATTGGATTACTATGAATCTCTGTTCCACACATGTACTAACCCTGGGCAGATAGTTACCAAGGCATACAAAGATCTCAGATAAAATGCAGACACCAAAAAATTAACCCTCTCACTGACAATGTACTGTTCTCATGCTCAGTCTCAAAGAGAGCTGTTTGTTACACTGGTGGTTGCCAAGGGGCAGGGGGTTGGGGGAGGGATGCAGTGGGAGGTTGAGGTTAGCAGACGTAAGCTTTTACATATAGAATGGATAAACAACAAGTTCCTACTGTATAGCGAAGAGAACTATATTCACTATCCTATGATAAACCATAATGGAAAAGAATACATTAAAAGAAAAGCATATATATGTATAACTGAATCACTTTGCTGTACAGCAGTAATTAACACAACATTGTAAATCAACTATACTTCAATTAAAAAAAAACAAAGAGAGCTGTTTATTAATGTCACCTTTCCTCTCCACATATACATGTCATCCAGGTTAAATTGTATTACCTCTCTGTGCCTTTTGTTTTTCTCAGCTTTAAAATGGAGATGATAATAGTGCCTATCCTCACAGGATTAAACGAGAAGACTGAATGAGGTAATATAAACACTTAAAAACAGTGCCTCACATATAAAGCACAAAGTAAGCATTTGCACATTATTATTTTATTATCATTACTTAGTAAAATATCAAGTTCTAAAATTAATATATCAAAAACAGAAACTTTCCTATATATAAAAAAATCCAGGGCTTCCCTGGTGACGCAGTGGTTAGGAATCCGCCTGCCAATGCAGGGAACACGGGTTTGATCCCTGGTCCGGGAAGATCCCATATGCTGCAGAGCAACTATGCCCGTGTGCCACAACTATTGAGCCTGCACTCTAGAGCCCGCGAGCCACAACTACTGAAGCCTGCGCGCCTAGAGCCCGTGCTCCACAACAAGAGAAGCCACCGCAATGACAAGCCCGCACACTGCAACGAAGAGTAGCCCCCGCTCGCCGCAACTAAAAGGAAAGCCTGCGCGCAGCAATGAAGACCAAACGCAGCCAAAAAAATAAATTAAAAAATATCTGTTTGAAAAGCATAATAGAAGATCCAATTCACATGGAACCATGAAAAATATTATGGCGATATGCAGGATCTATATAAAGAAAATAATGATTCTTAAGGTCATATTTTCCCTAAATTAACCTATAAATTTACTGTACACCTAATGAAAATATCAAAATAACTTTTGGTATTAACGAGACTAAAGTTCATTTTAAAAAAATGTAATACCCAGGGAATTCTGAAAAATAACGGTAATTTTGGTATGGGTGGAATAGAGATTACGTCCACATATTAACACACCATGAATCAAAATAGGGAATAAACTGGGAGCCTGGGACCGACATATACACACAACTCTATATTAAATACATAATAAGGACCTACTGTATAGCACAGGGAACTCTACTCAATAGTCTGTAATGCCTTATATGGGAAAAGAATGGTATATGTATAACTGATTCACTTTGCTGCACACCTGAAACTAATACAACATTGTACATCAACTATATTCCAATAAAAATTAAAAAAAATAAAATAGAGAAAAAGAGATACAAACTATAAGTCAATAAAACAGAATCCAGAAATAGACCAAAATACAAACTTAGTTTATGAGAAAGGCAGTATTTCAGTTCAGTTGGGGAAAGAGGGATTACCCAATAAAATTTGGTATAGTATCTGACTATTTAGAAAGAAATAAGGATGGATCTCTGTTAAATACTGTATCAGTCAGGGTTCACGGGAGAACAGAAACTCCTCTAGATATTTCAAGAAGTGTTTTAACATATAGAGAATTAAGTCCTTAAAAATCATGGAAAAAGCTGTAAGGGCAGAAACTAGGGGCCATATTTCTAGATTCAAGGTCATATCACCATCTGATCCAGAGAACAGGAAGTTAATGCCACCAGTTGCCACCAGCATTGCCTCATACCCATGAAGCAGGTGAGAGACACTAAAATGTGGAGTCTGGTTGCTACAAACAACTCCTGTCGGCAGCAACTTGCTTGTCCATTGGCACAGCTGCAGCAGATGGCCTCTGCCTCCCTTCTAACTTCAAAACTTGACCAAATGCAAGTCGTTGGCAGAATCTAACCTGTTCAGAACCCCACTTACCTTTGAGTCTGCAAAACTTCCTTTTTAGCTTTCATCCCCTGTGGTATGGAATGGGGAGGCATGGGACATAATGCCAAGTGCTAAGAGACAATATCTAGCACACATTCTCATACTAAAACCAATTCCAGATGGATAAAAGAGTTACCTGTAAAAAATAAAATGAACCTATCAAAATGCTCTAGAAGATCGATGGGTGAATTTACAATCTCAGGTGCAAAGATATTTCTAAGTACAACATAAATTGCAAGCCACACAGGAAAAGTGATGGATTGATCTACATAAAAATTTTATTTTTTTAGTATTTATTTATTTAATTAATTTATTTATTTGGCTCCATCGGGTCTTAGTTGTGGCACGTGGGATCTTTAGTTGCTGTGTGTGGGGTCTTTTTAGTTGTGGTGTGGGGGATCTTTTAGTTGTGGCATGCCAACACTTAGTTGCAGCATGGCAGCATGTAGGATCTAGTTCCCTGACCAGGGATCGAACCCAGGCCCCCTGCATTGAGAGCGTGGAGTCTTAGCCCCTGGATCACCAGGGAAGTCCCTACATAAAAATTTTAAATGGTGATATCTATCAGTATTTTAAAGCACAAATACTTTAGACAGCTATGTCCTTGCTAGAAATTTATATTATAGAAATATTTGTGTAAGTTTGCACAGGTATGTACCCAAACAATGCCGCATTATTTGTAAGAGCAAAACTCTGAAGACGAGTGATATATAAATTACAGCCCACTCTATAATAGAACACTATGAGGCCAGGTAAAAGGAGAGATTTGAAATGAAGATGTTCCCTTTGTGTAACACATGTGCACACATATCCTTACATTATCCAACCATATACAAAGATTACATTATTATTTTCTTAGGTCAAAGGGAGTTATGTTGGTGGGAAGATTATGATGCATTCTTCTTCTTCTTTGTAATTCTCTGACTTAGAACTTTAAAATTTCCCAATTTCCCCTTCCTCCCTGCCAAAAAAACAGAGATAATTTTTGTAAGTATATATTTATTTTCTCTTAGAATGTTCATGATTATTTTTGTTTGCTAATTTAACATACATTATTCAGAATTATACAAAACTGTGTTCTTCAGAAGTATCTAGCAACAGTATATGCTGTGAAATCATTCTATTCCTATTAATGACTAAATTACTTTACATATAAAAGAAGTTATGAATTTCAGTTGAAAGAAAAACTGCACTTATAGGAAATCATTCTATCATACATACAAGTTCACAGTTTTTACTTTTACAACCTTTTCAATTAAAATCATTCTTTCCCAAAAAACTATACTTCAGCATTAGACAGATAAGTATCTAATAAGTAATTAGTATGTACATAGGTGGCTGTGAAAAATTACCCATAACTGTAATATATTCTGTTCCAAAGCTGAAAATATTTCCTTTTAGAAAGCATTTTAACATTTCTTCTCATCATCTATAAAGCAGCAACAATATTTAAATTAAAAATGGCAAATCCAGGGCTTCCCTGGTGGCGCAGCGGTTGAGAGTCTGCCTGCCGATGCAGGGGACATGGGTTCGTGCCCCGGTCCGGGAAGACCGTAAGCCATGGCCGCTGAGCCTGTGCATCGGGAGAGGCCACCACAGTGAGAGGCCCGCGTATCACAAAAAGGCAAATCCAATGATATGCAATCATAAACAGTCCCTTAAGAAATATATTTGAAAAGTCATTATTCCTTAAAATATTTACATTTTTTAAATTACATGACAGCCACAATGTCTTGATCTACTTTAGTTGATCAAATTAATAAGAATCTCCAAATCCCTCCCCCACTAAAATGCTATTCATCTTTAATAAAGGAGACTTTATCCTTGGGTTTATTCAGCATCTTTATATCATCCAACAGCTTTTTGGGTGTTAAAATATGCGTGGAACCTGGTAGAGGAAAAGAGAAATTTTCAGAGGCCAGCAGTTAAATCAATTTTCCTTGGCTAATTATATTGTCCTGTCCTTCAAATATGCAAAGTGCAGTAGCTTGGGGCAACTTAAAATTTCTATAGGATGCCTTCCTGAAATCTGCCTGAACTACAGTATTTCAATCCTTCCTCTTCATTGAGCACACTCAGTAACCCTTCAAAAACACTGCCCACTCGTACAGCTTTGTCCACTTTGTGCTATATATTGATAAACTGAAGACCAAAACTGGAGGTTAGTCTGTCCTCCTGACAAAACAGCAACAGGCACTGTGAGTTCAGTCACAGAGAACTGTTAAGCAGTGCCGCAGATCGAGGCTTGGCGTATAAACGCGGCACCTCCACGGGTCAGGAGAGTTTCAGTATCAGTGGCTTTGACTGAAACTCTTAAAACTAAATTCCATACAGGCCTGGCCAATGTCAGGTCCACAGACAGAAAAAATTACAAAATATTTCTGTAGTAGAAATGTATGTTTCAAAAATTATTTAATCATGAGGGCAAGAAAAGGATAGGATGTAATATTTTAAAGGATATATTCTTTATGTAATATTTAGAATATTATAAAGAATATATATAATATATAATACATTATATAATATATATTATAAAGATTATAAAGAATATAATATTTCTGAAGCTCATTCTCTCAAAATCAGAATTTTAATTAAAAAAAAAAATCAAAAAAGTCAACCAGGAAAAAACTCTGGTATATCAGATAAAACACTCTATGATTTAAAAAATACTTTTTTGCACTCAACAATTTAGTCCTAAATGTAAATTACAAGATAAAGTTTTACATATATATTTTTGCATTTAGAGTTTGTTTTAAAAAAACAGAAAAGAGGAAAACACAAGTCTTACCAATAATAACTTCACAGGATTTATGTGCCTGAGATACTTCATAAGCACAACGCATTTCAGAGTATGTAATTCCTCCGATTACAAAAACAATCAGCTTAGACCCATTTTTTCGATCCTCTAAATAATTAGCTCTGGGTTTCTGCCGAGCACTAAAAAATAAACACAAACACATTAAAAATATTTCCAAAGCCATACTGCTTTTAGTCTTTTAAAAGAGCCCAACTCAAGCAAACTCAAATTTGGCACCAGCTGCACTGATTTTAAGGAAATGACTTAACTATGGTATGACTGGAGCATCAAGGGCCAGGCAGGACAGCCCCACTTTAAGTTCAGTTTTGATCTACAGAGTTTGAACAAATGACTCATAATCTAGCTCAGCACTTTTACCTATAAAATAGAGCTAAGGCCCTGTCTTATTTATTTCAGATAAAGACATAGTATACCTGAAAATCTATGACTTCCTGAAGTTAAAAAAGGGCGGGGGTGGCATTGAGACAATAGGGTTTTAAAGACATAGAGGGGGTGAGGGAGGCACAGGTGCTGCTTTGGAGCTGACGTGGTACCAGAACGTCCCTTGCTGGAACTCTACTAGTAAAGTATGATTATAGGAGATATCGAACACCTATCTGCACTCCTGTGGTCACTGCTGTATTATTCACAATAGTCAAGATATGAAAACAACCTAAATGTCCATCAATGGATTAAAAAAATGGTATATATAGAGAGTGGAATATTATTCAGGCTTAAAAAAGAAGCAGATTCTTCCATTTGCAACAACATGAATGAACCTGAAGGATATTATGCTAAGTGAAAAAGCCCAGACTCAGAAAGACTGCATGATCTCACTTATATGTGGAATCTAAAATAGTCAAACTGTTCTTTGGTCTTGGCGGCAGAAGCGAGATGATGAAGGGAACGTCATTGTTTGGAAAGCGTCGGAATAAGACGCACATGTTGTGCCGCCGCTGTGGCTCTACGGCCTACCACCTTCAGAAGTCGACCTGTGGCAAATGTGGCTATCCTGCCAAGTGGAAGAGAAAGTATAACTGGAGTGCTAAAGCTAAAAGACGAAGTACCACCCGGACTGGTCGAATGAGGAACCTAAAAATTGTATACCACAGATTCAGGCATGGGTTCCGTGAAGGAAAAACACCTAAGTCCAAGAGGGCAGCTGTTGCAGCAACCAGTTCGTCTTAAGGACTTCAATGACTAGTCGCGCAATAAATGTTCTGGTTTTAAATAAAAAAATAAAATAAAATAAAAAAGCCAAATTGATAGAAGTGGAGGATACAATGTTGGTTGCCGGGGAACGGGTGGAGAGGAAAAAGAGGCAATGTTGCTCAAAGGGCACAAAGTTTCAGCTACGCAAGATGAGTAAGTTCTAGAGATCTAATGTACAGCATGGTGACTATAGGTAACAAAACTGTACTGTATATGTGAAATATGCTAAGAGGATAGATCTTAAATTAAGTCTTTATGCCACAGAAGAAGGAAAAGAAAAAAAAAGGAAAAAAAGGTAATTATGGATATATTAACTAGTTTGTGGTGATTTCCCAATGTATATGTATCAAAACATCAAGTTGTATACCTTAAAAATATACGTTATGAAGTCAATTGTAACTCAATAATGCTGTTAAAAAAAAAAAAGAGAGCCACCTGGGTTTCAACTCTGATTCTGCTTCTTTTTAATTCTCTATGATTTTTAGCAAGTTCCTTAACCTCTCTCTAAACCTAAAGGGTTGTTTTCAAGATCAAATGAAATAATGTACAGAATACACTAAGTATGGAATCTAGTACTAGGAAAGCACTAAACAAATAGAACTACAATTTCTACTACTTCCCCCCTTAGATTGCTCTAGATCTGCGCACTGGCCAAGATAGCAGCCACTAGCCACATGAGGCTATTTAAATTTAAATTAACTAAAATTAAAAATTCAGTTTCTCAGTCATGATATGTGGCCAGTGGTTATCATATAGGACAGTGCAGATATAGGACATTTCCATCACTGCAAGAAAGTTGTATTGGTTAGCACTGCCCTAGGTCATAGAAACCACTATTTTTGTTCCCATACCCCACTGGTAAAAATTCTGAGCTTTTATTTGAAAAGTAAATAAATATTTTAAAATAAACATGTACATCTATTAAAAATATATATTAGTTTATAAATTATATATGTGTACTAGTATATACTAATAAAGCTTAATTTCTCCTTTTTCTAGTATAAAAATACTACCCAATAGATCACCTTATTACCCACTTTGGAAACCATATACTAGATGACCTCTAAGACCCTGCAATGTAGGATATCACGGTAAACTTTTTTAAAAAATAAATTCATTTATTTATTTTTGGCTGCACTGGGTCTTTGTTGCTGCACGCAGGCTTTCTCTAGTTGTGGCGAGCGGGGACTACTCTTCATTGCGGTGCATGGGCTTCTCATTGCGGTGGCTTCTCTTGTGAAGCACAGGCTGTAGGCGCACGGGCTTCAGTAGTTGTGGCTCGTGGGCTCTAGAGCGTAGGCTCAGTAGTTGTGGTGCATGGGCTTAGCTGCTCCATGGGATGTGGGATCTTCCCAGACCAGGGCTTGAACCCGTGTCCCCTGCATTGGCAGGGGGATTCTTTTTTTTAAGTAAATTTATTTATTTATTTATTGGCTGCATTGGATCTTTGTTGCTGTGTGAGAGCTTTCTCTAGTTGCAGCGAGCGGGGGCTACTCTTTGTTGTGGTGCGCGGGCTTCTCATTGTGGTGGCTTCTCTTTGCTGTGGAGCACAGGCTCTAGGCACGCGGGCTGAAGTAGTTGTGGCACACGGGCTCAGTAGCTCCACGGCATGTGGGATCTTCCAGGACCAGGGCTCGAACCTGTGTCCCCTGAATTGGCAGGCAGATTCTTAATCACTGCGCCACCAAGGAAGTCCCGGCAGGTGGATTCTTAACCAGTGTGCCACCAGGGAAGTCCATGGTAAACTTTTAATAATGTTCTCAGTCTAGCCTTTGGATGGTAATTTCCATCTGCCATCTTAAGGAACGACGAGGTAGTAAACAACAGAAATAGTAAAGACACTTAGTAGTTTGCTTTGAAAGATGAAACAGGAACAAGATACACTCTTGGTTCCCATATAAAATAAATCAAGGACATACTAAAAGTACAACCTTGGTTTAAAAACTTTCCAAAGAGAGTGAAATAAAGTAAGAAAGCAAAAGAAAAGGAATTAATATTGCTCAAAATGATGATGTGATTGTAACGATTTTTAAATTTCTGAATAGCAATTTTAGGACAATAGGATTACATTTAATTTGTTTCACATAAATGTGTAAGACACTGTGCTAGTGTTTTACACTCTGAAAGACACATAAATAATGATTAAATCCCTGTATCCTGAAAATCTCACTCTAGAAAGCACCTAGAGGCATTGGTTAAAATAAGAGCAAACATCTTTTTAAAAGCATAGCTGAAAGTAAACAAGTAAGAGCAATCTTCAAGGGCCAGCAGCAGCACAAAGGAAACTAAAAACTAGAGTGGTAAACTCAGTTGAGGCTTGCTCTGCCTTACAGTGTTAGTCTAATCTTAGCAAACAAGGGGTCTGGGTGTTTCCCTGTTTAATGAACACAGAAGACAAAGTCTTGGATATTGTGCAAGGTAGAGATGGGGAGGTGACACCCCAGCATAAGGTCAGGACACACTCAAAAGCAAGGGGAGATGACAAAGAAGCTTCTTGCCTGATAATTCAACACAGGCCTGTCTCGTGAGAGCTCTAATTTACACTACCTTCATAGGCTGGGGAACCCCAACTGAGAAATTAACACACAAAAGAAAAAAGTCTCTAACCTTGGCAGAAGCAAATGCAAAACCTCTCTGAAGGTACCCACTCTCAATCCTGGCTACTGAAATAAGTTCAGAATCCAAAATTATGAAGCACATGAGGAAATAAGCAAGCATAAGTGTCTGTGGAAATGAAAAAGCAGTAAAATTAGACCCCAAAGAATGTCAGATGTTGAATTTAGTAAAAAATAGTCTAAAATTAAGTATGTTGAAAATGATAAATGATAATAAAGTAGAACAGAAAGCATGACAAAATAACAAAGAAGTCCAAGCATATTTGAAAAAGAAACAAGGAGAACTTCTAAAATAAAGGAAAAGTAAAGTCAATGAACATAGAAGCTCAAAAAATATATACATATATACAGTTTACTCAGCAGATTAGGCACAAATTTAAGAAAGAACTAAAGAATTGAAAACTAAATCCGAAGAAAAATTTCCAAAAGGAAACACAAAAAGTAAAAGAAATATTAAAACTTGAGGGATTATGAGGCATGAAGATAAAATGAGATGTTTGAATAAAACCAAGACTGCAGAAGTGGCAATATTTGAAGAATTTATGGAAGATATGAAACTTCAGATTTTAGGAAACACACTGAATCCCAAGGAAAGAAATAAAAATAAACCCTCAGGTAGACACAGCACAGGAAATGTACAGAATACCAAACACAAAAAGCACCAGAGAGAAAAGGCAAATTACCTATAAAAGTACGACAAAACTGTCTGAAAACACCCCATCCCCATACACACACCTTCCCAACAGGAGAATAACATTTCAAAGTGTTGAGTGAAAATTAACATGAGCCTAGAAATTCAAAGCTATCATATAAGAATAATGACAAAATGAAGACATTTTCAGACAGACAAAACCACAGAGACCCTACCACCAACAGACCCACACTGAAGAAACTTCTAAAGGATAGGATATATTTCAGAAAAGAAAACAAATGAGCCCAAAAAACGGGATGCAAGGGACTCCCCTGGCGGTGCAGTGGTTAAGAATCCACCTGCCAATGCAGGGGACACAGGTTGGATCCCTGGTCCGGGAAGATCCCACATGCCATGGAGCAACTAAGCCCGTGCACCACAACTACTGAGCCTGTGCTCTAGAGCCCATGAGCCACAATTACTGAGCCCGCATGCCACAACTAGTGAAGCCCACGCACCTAGAGCCCATGCTCCACAACAAGAGAAGCCACTGCAATGAGAAGCCTGTGCACCACAACAAAGAGTAGACCCCGCTCACTGCAACTCCTGTGTGCAGCAACAAAGACCCAACGCAGCCAAAAGTAAAATAAAATTAATTTTTAAAAAAAGGGATGAAAGCAGAAGTGGTGCGCAATATAACTGGTTAGTATGCACACACAACTAAAAAAATAATAATGCTTATCATTAATTTGGGAAATAAAAAAGATATAAGGTGAAAACAATTAAGAGAACATTTAAAGGGTGTGTAGTTTGAATTAAGTTGTTCTAAAGTTCTGTATTGTTCATGAGAAGGGCAAAGATAACTAATCTCAGACTTTGTTGAGTCAAAGAAGTGTACTAAAATTCTAAGGATAATAGCTACAAAAGTACAAAAAGGCTATATAACTTCCAAACCAGGAGAAAAGGGAAAAATAAAACTAAAGAAAAAGTCCTCAGACCAAGAGAATCACCCTAGAGAAATACTCAAACACACGTAAATGTACAAGAATGCTCATTGCATATTGTTTGTAATGCTGCCAGTTTTGACACAGCCTAAATTTCCTTTGTGTGGAAAATACATGAATAAACTGTGATACTCACATAAGAATACACCAACCAGCAGTGAAAATTTATGCATGTTATCAATTTGGGATAAATTTCACAAACATAATGTTGAGGGAAATTTAAAAAGGAAGTTGCAGGAGGACACATACAAGATGACACCATGTATATTAAGATTAAAAACACAGTCAAAGACAACTTGTGGTCATGGTGGAATAAGATGGTCAGAAGATTGCCCTCCAAGAAAACAAGTATAAACCTGGATGAAGTTGTGGGGGGAAAAACCAGTTCAGGTCACTTGGAAATCAACCACAGGCAAACAGCAAATTGAGAAGCATTTACTCTTAAAAAATATGTTAGCATATTGGTAAGAATGGTGGTAGTGACTACGTGACCTTCTAGCCTGAGGCTACACTCAACCTGCACTGTTCTTCCAACTCAGTCAGCAAAAACTATAGCTTTACTGACCTGAGGCTGGCTGAGAAAACCACCAACTTTACTGCCTGAGATGGAAGACTTGATTCAAGGTAGGGAGTGAAGGGAGTACAAAATCCTGCAGCTTTGCTAGTTAAAAATGGCAGACCTGGTTTAGAACAGGAAGACCTGCAGCTCTGGTAGCACAACATCTTGGTCCCAGTATGGGATACGTGGCACATCAGCCAGAAATTTAATGGGGAAATCCTGAACGTACGAAAGCCAAAGAAGACAAAGACAAACTCTCCCCACATCCTTAGCTGACTGCCAAATTATGCTTGTGCCAGGACAAGCCAGAGAAAGCCCAGGGAAAGAATAGGAAAAAAAAAGAAGGGTGGTGGTGGTCGGGGGAAGACTCAAGAACTGACTCTGACTTGTAATGCAGTTCTTAACCCACACTCGGATTGATCAGCAGATGATGGAAGGCGTGAGGTGTCTAAACACAACCTCTGCCCAGGTAACTGGCTGACCTCTAAACTATTCAGACATAGGGCAACCACTAGGAACCAAGCAAAAAAATTAAATTTAAAATTAAAAACCCCTGCAATGACATCAGTGGCTAAACTTCAGGGGGCAGTGATCCCACAGCTTAAGTCCATACAAGTTACTAAAACAAAAAACAATTTAGAGTTGCTACAGTACAGTATCTAAAAGATCCAACTTTCAAGCAAAAATTAGTAGATATGTAAGAAAACAGTAAAGTGTGTCCCACACGTTGGAAAAAAGCCATCAATAGAAACTGACCCTGAGTGAATCCAGATGTTGGATTAGCAGACTTTGAAGAATCTATTATAAATATGATCAAATAATTAAAGAAAAGCATGCTGATACTATGTTAATCAATGGGGAATTTCAAAAGAGAAATGGAAACTAAAAAAGAAGCAAATGGAAATTCAAAATGTGAAAAGCACAATAACTGAAATGAAAAATTCACTAGATGGGCTCAATAGCAGATTTGAGATGTCAGAAGAAAGAATCAAAGGATTGAAGATCAATAGATATTAGCATATCTGAAGAACAGAAAGAAAAAAGGTGGAAGAAAGGTAAACAGCCTCAGTGACCCATGAGACAAAGTCAAACTTTCCAACACATGAGTAATGGAGTTTCAAAAGAAGAGGGAGAGAGAAACAGGCAGAAAAAAAATTTGAAGAAACAGCAACTGAAAACTTCCCAAAATTTGATGAAAAATATTAACTTGTAGATCCAAGAAAACTCAACTACCCCAGGTAGAATAAACACAAAAAGAACTCCGCCTAGACACATCATAGTTAAACTGCTAAAAGCCAAAGACCAAGAGAAAAATCCTGCAAAACACAACTCTATACATAATTTAGAATACAGATATATGTAGAAAATGTATAAAGATGCACAGGTGAATGGTAAACACCAAATTCAGGATAGTGAAGAAAGGGAGAATAAAAATCAGAGAGTGATATATAGGAAGCTTGAACTGTATTTATGATTCATTTGTTAAGCTGGGCACTGAGTATAGGGTATGCATTATAATATTGTCTATAGCTTTCTGAATGTCTCAAATATCTTATCACCAAAAAAATCATCAAAAAGGATTATGTCCTCTGCTAATGTGAAGAAAAAAAAAGATGAGTGGAGAAATTCTTCTCTAGTTTCATGAAAGTTTCTTTTATAATAAGGCACATTTTCATATTGCTTATCTGGACTCATCTAAAACAGGTTACAGTTAAAGAAAAACTGCCTTTTAAGTGACTATATGCTTCAAGAAGTTACCAATACAGGAATATCTGTGTACCTTTTCAGTTATTAGTCTGTAATTTCATAGTGAAAATTTCACTGGCTTTCATTTATAGGTTTTACCTTACAGCTCCTGAGCCATTCCATACTGCTGGACACTGGGAACAATATGGCCACTCTTTTGAATCTAATCTATTATCAATGGCATCCTAGGAAAGAAAAGAATTAAAACCATCAAGAAAATACTGTAAATTCCAGGATTTTGTTTGTTTTACATAAAACTCAAAACTTGTGTTTACAATTAAGGAACATAAGGATATATATTTAATAAAATAAGGTTAGCCCTCTTTTTGAAACTCACAAATCTTAATTGCTACAAAAATTAATGAAATCATTTACTTATTAAACTAATATTTATTGCATGCCTGTATTTCTTCATCTGGAGGGTTCCCACTTTGGTGTGAGAATTCCAGGTACCTTATAAGGATCTTTATCTTTAGAGTGCTAGGGGTTCCTTTTTTAAAATATAAATTTATTTATTTTATTATTAATTTATTTATTTAGGCTGTGTTGGGTCTTTTCTTGCTGTGCACGGGCTTTCTCTAGTTGCGGTGAGCAGGGGCTACTCTTCGTTGCAGTGCACGGTCTTCTCATTGCGATGGCTTCTCTTGTTGCGGAGCATGGGCTCTAGGCACATGGGCTTCAGTAGCTGTGGCACACGGGCTCTAGAGCACAGGCTCAGTAGTTGTGGCATATGGACTTAGCTGCTCCGCAGCATGTGGGATCTTCCCAGACCAGGGCTTGAACCCGTGTCCCCTGCATTGGCAGGCAGATTCTTAACCACTGCGCCACCAGGGAAGCCCAGTGCTGGGGGTTTCTAAATACCATCTTAATCCTGACAGACCTCTTAGGCTACTGGAGTCCAGGCCTTGCCCTTCATAGCGGTGGCTCTAAAACAGAATGTGGCCTAGGTGTATTCAAGACAAGCCAATGGGATGAGCAAGGCTTTCCTTTTCATTTCATTTTTAAAATTTTCCTTCTTTTTAGGGTTAATATTTTATTATATATTTTTGTGTAATTGTATATACTGTACACATAGTATTTTATCAATACAGAATTTATATAGTTTATAAATAAATAATCATATACTCTAGGCTCCTGATCACATCTATTATGATTAAGTGTGCATGATCAAGAAAGTTTAGAGACCACTGCATTAGAGCATGGTTGTACAAATGGTATCAATAAGTAGGAATGGACAAGGAATGGGCACAAGGTACTCAGTAGTCCTAGAATATTTCAATAAGACTGCAAGATGTGAAGAAACCAAGTTTCAGGAGAAACCCTGAAGGCCATAGACTGCCCCTGAGGTAAAAGTGGGTTTTCTGAATTTAATATGCAAATTCTTGTTAAAGGGTTTGAGAAGGTCAATTCTTATTTTAAAAATACTAGCAAAGAAAAACTACTTAGTTCTATATCCTTGTTATGGATCAGGAAAAAAAAAAACAACTTATGCTGCAGAAAAAAAAGTCTAAACTCTTTAAACTTTTCATCTATATTAAGCATGTGTGAATGACATAGAATTAGTCAAGTAAAACAGAAAAATCATAGGAATAAATTGTACACAATTAGTTTCCATAGGAAAGTAGAAATTAAAGTTTATAAGCTAAAGGCAAATTAGAATAAATAGAACTATCTGATTATGACTGAAGAATCAATGTCATGACTTTATTGAGCTCATAATGTGATTTTTATTAGTTCATTTTCTAATTTCCTATAATTGAGTATTACTTTCTAAAAGTAAACAGTACTAAAGGCATCAGCCATCTGTTGACTATAAAAGCAAACTATAGTGAGGCTTACATTTTTTTCTTAACATCTTTACTGGAGTATAATTGCTTTACAGTGGTGTGTTAGTTTCTGCTTTATAATAACGTGAATCAGCTATACATATACATATATCTCCATATCTCCTCCCTCGTGTTTCCCTCCCACCCTCCCTATCCCACCCCTCCAGGCGGTCACAAAGCACCGAGCTGATCTCCCTGTGCTGTGAAGCTGCTTCCCACTAACTATCTATTTTATATCTGGTAGTATATATAAGTCCATGCCACTCTCTCACTTCGTCCCAGCTTACCCTTCCCCCTCCCCGTGTCCTCAAATCCATTCTCTACATCTGCGTCTTTATTCCTGTCCTGCCCCAGGTTCTTCAGAACCATTTTTTTTTAAGATTCCATATATATGTGTTAGCATATGGTATTTTTCTCTTTCTGACTTACTTCACTCTGTACGACAGTCTCTAGGTCCATCCACCTCACTACAAATAACTCAATTTCGTTTCTTTGTATGGCTGAGTAATATTCCATTGGAGGTTTACATTTTAATCACAAATACATTTCCAAGAATACTGGAGTCTAACACTTTCTAATAGTGGTCATAAACAAATGTTATTTTGTTGAACTTTCATTCAACTAAATTATTTATATTTCTGCTACATATAGTTATTTCAAACAGAGTTTTTTTCATAAAGCATGTTTGTACTTTATTTTTTTTAATTTATTTTGAGTCAGTCAGTGGTATGAATTTGCAGTCTTTAAGGAGAGAATCTTCAAGAGTTTCCTTTCCTCACTTAACACCAGATACAGCCTTCTTTTGTGAACTCTCCCAGTACTGCAGATAATTCCTGACCCATAGATATGCTCAGACTGACAGATAAATATACAAAGAGTAAAAAATATTGTACAGAAGGGCACTCAGGGTATAAATAAAATTTAATTAATTTTACCTCCAAAATATCTTTGATAAAAGGTGTCCATCGAGAGAGCTGAAACGTTTCTTCTGCAGACCGATCCTTTCTTAATGGTTTGCCTTGTTGAGACTAATATAATTAGAGGAAAAAATTAAAAATCAGTAATTTTATTTAGTGATATTCTCTTAAGTTTTCTAACAAGATGTTTAATTTACAACAAACACTATGGTGCAGTTGACTTAAAACTAAGAGTGGAAAAGCCTACTCAAAAAATCTGAATAGGTGTGGTCATGTAACTTCACAGTATTTTGTGCATTAATGATAAAATTTGTGATAGTATCAGAAAATATGTTTACTCCAAAGTGCTTATATAAAACTCGATGGGAAAGAGTGAGATTCTATACAGAGTTCTTCAAATTCTGCTATAAATGAATCATGAAAAGAAAAGCGTAAATAGCAAATTACAACAGAAGCTGTAAGATATAAATTCACTAGAAAAATGTACTTGTCCAAATTACTCATATATGGAAAAAAATGAAATTATTAATATTTTACTTACCAAATCAACAGAGTAAAATTAAGAAGACTGTCCACATGGATTCCGACATAAGAAAACATATTTAATGCAAATGACCACACATGCGTATGTATAAGTATATACAGAATGTAAAATTTCTTACGGGAGGGACAATGGGAACACCAAGGTAACTCCAGTTACGAATCATGTCACTCTCATTTTCTATCTTTACATTCTGGATCAACCTGTCCAAGTTTTCTTCCGTAGTTCCTTAGATAAGTAAAATATGAGTGCACAGTCAAATAATTGCTACCATAATCATTTCCAGGTTTTAGGTATCCAAGAATAAAGCTTTTTTTAAAAAAGCAAACATTTAAATTATATACCCTTCAGTACGCTCCCAATTTCACATTTTTCCTTTTATTTATCTTAACCAACTGTAGCCACTACTTTTGAATTTTCTAAGATTTTCTTATGATCAAATAGTAAACCACTTATTGTAAAATGATTTTAGAGCTGGGTATTTTAATATATTCAAGAAAATAAACAGTCTGCATTACCATTAATACTGAATATATAAAGTAGGATTGCTCTTATTTTATCATAATTATCATGATTTTTGCTGAGTAGAACTGGAAGGAGTACTCGCATAGCATCTTTGACTTTCTGTCCTTCTGCGTCAGTTCCAAGTGCCAGGTCCTTAACGAAAATGAAATATAGTCAGTGGTCTATGATCCAAATTCATTTTTCAGTTAAAAAACACCTATTACTAAAACTTGCCAAATTTTAATGGAACACTGATGCCTTTTCACAGGAAAATGTGAGTATCACTTGTAAACTAATACTGTACAAAATGTAAAAAGTCAAAAAATAATTCAGAGAAGAAAATCATTAATCTATACCTTTGCTAATATGGTAGACATGAGCTGCATGTGGCTACTGACCACTTGAAATGTGTCTAGTCTGAATTAAGATGTGCTCTAAGTTAAAACACCAGATTCTGAGGACTTGTTTGTGAAAAAAAGGATGTAAAATATTTCAATAATTGTTTTATATTGATTACATGTCGAAATAATATTTTGGATGTACTGGGTTAAATCAAATATATTAAAGTTAACCACACTCATTTCTTTTTACCTTTTTAATGTGACTACTAGAATATTTAAAATTATACATGACTTGCAATCTATTTCTATTAGACAGCACTGATCTAAATAGTTTTGGCATTATAGAGGAGACTTTAATTAAATGTGCCTACACAGTACTCTGCAGGATGCTGCCTTAAATGCTGCACCCACTGAAAAAGGCCTGCCAACAGTGCTACCCTGAATTAATGCTCCAAACACTTAAATCATCCCATTCAACCAAAAATGCATAATCACAGATTAGGAGGGACTGCTTACTATGATAGTGTATAGCTACCTGTTAGCGTTGGTAAGGAATGATGTATTAAACCAAGTGGGTGAGTCTCCTTCTAAAAGAGGTTCTGTGATCTAGTGCACTGTATTGAACAAAAAGTTAGGTTTTACCTTACAAAGTTAATTCTGGAAATCTATCCTGAACATAGGTATTTCTGGCTCTGCACATACCTGTTCAGTTTTGCAGAGCTTTTCTATATTAGGCTTGAACTTATTCATGCAATCTTCTGCTAAGTTAAGATGAACAACTTGCTGAAAAACAGAAGAAATCAATCATTTAAAGCATTTTCATTTCTTTCTGTGTAACTGATAATATTAAACTTTTGAGATGGGCCTGAAGGAAAGCATGGGCTTTGGTGGGAAGGAGGTACCATGTAGATCAAGGGAAACATCTCGAGAATGGAAAAAAGTGAAAATTACCATGATCTACAGGGGATAATCAACAGACCACAAAAAACAGAATGGAAGGGTTGAATTTGTGTTGGGCTTATGAGTAGTGAAAAATAAGGTGAGAAAAAAATAGTGAAGTCCTTAAAGGCAAGCAGAAAAAGTTTGAATTTATGTTATTGATTCTTGATTAGGAAGCAATATGATAAAAAATATGTAAATATTATTCTGATAAATACTTGTAAGAAGGACTGGAACAGCAAAAAAACAAAACTTTACCTGCCCACACAGCTTTGATTGCTCTTAAATCTACTGATATATAACTATTAATTCAGACATCCCTGGTGGCGCAGTGGTTAAGAATCCGCCTGTCAATGCAGGGGGACACGGGTTTGAGCCCTGGTCCAGGAAGATCCCACATGCCGCGGAGCAACTAAGCCTGTGCGCCACCACTACTGAAGCCAGCATGCCTACAGCCCATGCTCCACAACAAGAGAAGCCACCACAGTAAGAAGTCCGCACACCGCAATGAAGAGTAGCCCCTGCTTACCACAACTAGAGAAAGCCGGCATGCAGCAATGAAGACCCAATGCAACCAAAAATAAATAAATAAAATTTTTAAAATAACTATTAATTCAACGAACCAAGTATAACAACAACCACTTGTCAATCCAATGTTGAATTTTCTTATTAAGTTGATAAATATTAAGCTTTTTCTGTTTGGCTATTCAAGATAAAGATATAAATCAAGAGTATATATAGAGAGAACTCTATTGGGGAGCTTAGATATTTGGGGTATTTCTCAGACCTAAAGTAAGGTTTTAGAGGACAACTAACACCAAGTATTCCATGACACCCACTGCTAAACCTGACTACAGAACTGGATGGACTAATAAACTAAAAATGATAACATATCTTATGTATGATACTGCTTACCTTAGTAATCTGTTTACGGAAATGGGGCATCTTTTTCATCAGTTGGGCAAGAGCACTAAGTGATGTCTAGGAAAAATAAAACATTTTTTAAAACAAACTTATGATTCAGTTATTTTTATATAACAATTTTAAAATCCTGTAGTTTTAAATATTTATTAATTTACTAAATATTTGGCAATTTTAAAAAGAAAACAAATTCAAGGTTTCCAGTTGCAGCCATGATAAAGTAACTGATATAAAAATTATTCTCCGGGGGGTTCCCTGGTGGCGCAGTGGTTGAGAGTCCGCCTGCCAATACAGGGGACACGGGTTCGTTCCCCGGTCTGGGAGGATCCCACATGCCGCGGAGCGGCTGGGCCCGTGAGCCATGGCCACTGAGCCTGTGCGTCCGGAGCCTGTGCTCCACAACACGAGAGGCCACACAATGAGAGGCCCGCGTACCGCAAAAAAAAAAAGAAAAAAATTCTCCCTCCATAAACAAAAACAAAATTGGACAAAATAAAAAAGACAACAGCTTTCAGGCAAAGGATTTTTCAAAAATAGCTCAAAACTAGGTTACTTGAGCAAAGGAAAGCATAGACGGTGATCCCTGCACTCATCCTGGCTCTTCCCTGAAACATTTTCCAAAACACAGTGAAAGGAAGTAGAGTTTAAGTAGAAAGCAAGTCTCTCTGGGCAGAGGAAAAAGAGATCAGAGTTTGGGGCTATTGAGGTAGGGTTTGGGGTCCAGGGTTAATACAGAAAAGAGCCAGTCACAACATAACTCAAAGACGTGTAGAAGGGTTGCCTTAGCATCCCTGGCCAAATACTAAGCTGCACATATACAGGGCATAACTCTTAAAGGCCTAGCAGAGAACAACTGCAGAGATTTCAGAGGGGTCTTAATGCAAGACAATATCGGCATTCTCTGATCCAGACAAAGTAGACAGTTCTAAGTGAACATCCCAGACATTTAGTCCTGGAAGGACTATATCTTCAGACTAAATGCAAAAGTGAAATACACTCAACATAACAAAAGCCTGACATGAAGTCTCAACAGAATCAAGGTTATTCACTAACAAATTAACTGCCTGCCAGAACAGAACTCAATACTCTTAGTAAAGAGAACATCATCAAGAGCCTTTGCAACATAGCATCCACAATGTCTAACATACAGTAATATATTACTGGACATGTAAAACAGGAAAAAGTGATCGATACTCAAGTGATGAAACAGTCAATAAAAGTAGACCCAAGAAAATCCAGACGCTGGAGTTAGCAGACAAGGACTTTAAAATATCATACTTATGTTAAAGAAAACAGGTGAAAAGATGAACTAAATGGATGAAAAGATGGAGTATTTCAATAGAGAATTATAGACTTTATTAAAAAAAATTCAATGGGGCTTCCCTGGTGGTGCAGTGGTTGAGAGTCCGCCTGCCAATGCAGGGGATGCGGGTTCGTGCCCCGGTCCGGAGGATCCCACATGCCCCGGAGCGGCTGGGCCCGCGAGCCATGGCCGCTGAGCCTGCGCGTCTGGAGCCTGTGCTCCACAGCGGGAGAGGCCACAACATTGAGAGGCCCGCGTACCACAAAAAAAAAAAAAAAAAAAAATTCAATGGATGCCCTAGAATTAAATGCAACTTTGAAATTAAAAACACAACGAATGACTCATACGTTGTTGGTGAGACTGTAAAATGGTACAGCAAATTAGGAAAACAGTTTGGAAGTTTCCTAGAAAATTAAATATACATTTACCATATGACCCAGCAATCTTACTCTTATTTATCCAACTGAATGAAAACATTTGTTCACACAAAACCTGAATGTTCACAGTGGCTTTATTTGTAATTGTCAACAACTTGGAAAAAACCTAAATGTTCTGCAACTTGTGAACAGATAAAATGTAGTATATCCATACAATGGAATACTACTCAGCAATAAAAAGTATTGAAGCTCCTGTTACATGTCACATGGATGAATGTCAAGTGCATTATATTAAATGAAAAAGCCATATTGTATTATTCTATTTAGCTGTCATTCTGGAAAAGGCAAAACTATAGGAAAGAAAATAGATCAGTGGTTCTGAGGGGATCAGAGTTGAGTGGAGAGGTTGCCTACAAAGTGGCACAAGGCAATTGTGGGGGGAGGTGTTGATGGAATTGTTCTATATCTTGGTTGTGGTTATATGAGAGTATACGTTTGTCAAAACTCATACAATTTTATACTATAAAGGGGGAACTTTACTTTCTAATGCAGTTTAAGAAACAATATGTTGAATGGGTTTAACTGCAGACTGGATACAACAGACAAAAGTAGGGGACTCGGGCTTCCCTGGTGGTGCAGTGGTTGAGAGTCCGCCTGCCGATGCAGGGGACACGGGTTCATGCCTCGGTCCGGGAAGATCCCATATGCTGCGGAGCGGCTAGGCCCATGAGCCATGGCCGCTGGGCCTGCGCGTCCGGAGGCTGTGCTCTGCAACGGGAGAGGCCACAACAGTGCAAGGCCCGTGTACCACAAAAAAAAAAAAAGTAGGGGACTGAAAGTCAGGTTAATAGAAAATATTTAATTAAAGCACAGAGGAGGAAAAAAGTGGGAAAATAAGGAACAGAATAGAAGAGATGTAGAATATGGTCCAAAAATCTAAAACACAAGTGAATGGAATCCTAGAAGGAGAGGAAAGACAGACTAGGACAAAATCAAGATGTGAGGAAATAAGAGCCAAGAATTTTACAAATATGAAGACAGTTACCAACCCAGTGATTCAAGAAGCTCAATAAACCCAAGGAGGATAAATACCAACAATAACACATCATAGTAAGGCATATTATGGTCACATTGCTAAAACTAAAAGATAAAAACAAAAATCTTTAAAAAGACACTTTATCTTCAGGAAACTAACAGTAACATGACAGCTGGCTTCTTTAACAGAAATGATGGTAGCCAAAAGGTGACATATTTAAATCTTTAAATTGCTGAAAGAAAAAAAAGAACTGCCAACTTTGAATTCTAAATACAGTAAGTGTCTCTGTAAAACCCGTAAAACACAGATATCCTTAGATAAAAACAAAAGTTGAGAGAAATCATCCAGCCCAGATGGAAACACTGAAGAGCAATAAGGAATAAATAACAACAGATTTCAAATTTATGTGGACAATATAAAAGTCTATTGAGAATTTAAAACAAAAATAACATCCTGACTTTATAACACATGTTAAAGTAAAATATATGACAACAATAGCACAAAAGACAAAGGGAGGTAAATGGAGTTAAACTATTATAAGGTTCTTTAATTCTTTAGGACATGGCAAAAGTATACTTTAGGTACACTGTGATAATATAAGGATACATTTTGTAGTACCCAACATGATGACTACAGGAAGGATACCAAAAGGTAAAACAAAAGTTTATTTTGGAGACAAAATGGAATAGTTTAAAGAAAAAAAAAAGGCCTATATATATAAAGAAGGCAGAAAAGGAAAAGGATAAAATAAAGAGAAAACAAATAAGATGGTAACAAATTCAACTATATCAATAATTACATGAAATACAGATGGACTTAAACATTCTAATTAAAAGATAAGGATCATCAGACTGAATAAACAAACAAACCTCAACTATCAATACAAACTCTTTTTAAGAAGCACACTTTAAACATAAAGGCACAAATTAGTGAAAATAAAGGATGAGAAAAGATATACCATGTAAACACTAGCCAAAATAAAGCAGGTATGGCTATATTAAAATCAGACAAAGTAGAGCTTAAGTCAAGAAATGTTGCAAATGAAAAACAAAATGACATTTTGTATTGATAAAAGATAAATTCAACAGAAAGGTAACTATCTTAAATTTATAAAGACTATAATTAACATGGCTTTATCAGTTGATATAGCTTTGAAAGTTGACAAGATTCTAAAAAAAAATAGACTAATTCATAGCCGTAAGCGATACCATTCTCAGTAACTGATATAAAAACCAGATAAAAAATAAGTAAAGAAATAGAATATTTGAATAACATGATGAACCAACTTGATTTAATTGACACACATAGAATTTGTATTCTTTTCAAGTACACATTGGGTACTCAACCACAATAGATCGTATGATAGGTCACAAGTCAAGTCTGAACAAATTTCAAAGGACTGAAATCATACATTGCACATTCTCTGACCACTATATAGTTAAATTACAATTCAATAACAGAAAGACAAGTAGAAAATTCCCAAACTCTTTGAAATTAAAAAACATATTCCTATATAACACACAAGTCAAAGAAGAAATCACAATGAGAGTTAGAAAACATTTTGAGCTGAATCGAAATAAAAATAGGTTATTCCAAAACTTGGGGTATGCAGCTGCAACAATGTTAAGAAGGAAATAAATAAATATATATAGTAAGAGAAAAAAGGTTGAAAATCAATGCTGTAAACATCCAACTCAAGAAGTTAGAAAAAGAAAAACAAGCCAAAGAAAACTGAAGGTAGGAAATAAAAATGAGTAGAAATCAATTCAACGTAAAACTAACATACAGTAGAGAAATCAGCAAAGCCAAAAGTTGGTTCTTTGAAATACTAATTATATATATAGGGATATTAATAGTATGTAGGCTAAAACACAAATTAACAATATTAGGATTAAATAAGTAGCACACAGCTATAGGTTCTACAGACACTGAAAAGATAATAAGAGGATATTTGAAAATGAAGATATAATAGACAAATCCCTTAAAAATGAACACCCCAAAACTGATATAAAAAAAATTAAAAATCTGAATAGTTCTGTAACTATTAAAGAATTTGTAAGTAAAGACTTCCCCATAAAAATGGAAAACTCCATGCCCAGACTGCTTCAGTTGTGAAGTCTTCCAAGCAATGATGAGACAAGTAATAACAATCTTACACAAACACTTCCAGAGAATGAGAGGGAAAACATTACAACTCATTTAAAGACCAATATAATTTTGCTGCCAAAACCTGACAAGATTATCTCACTCACTCACACACACACACAAGAATTATTACAGGGAAATACTATTGTTCATAAACCTAGAAGTAAACATTCTAAGCAAAATACTAGCAAATAGAACCTAGTGAGATATAGGAAAAGGATAAAGTATCATGACTAAGTGGAGCTAATTCCAAGAATGCATGGTTGGTTTAATGTAAGAGAATCAATGAATGTAACTTATCACATTAAAAGAATAAAAGAGGGAAAAAAATTTCAATAGGTGCTGATAAAGCATTTGATGAAATCCAACACCTACTGCTGATTTAAAAAACAAAACCAAAAAAAAACCTGTTGGCAAATATGGAATAGAAGGGAACTTCTTAATCTGACAAAGGATGTATCTAAAATAATCTAAAACTACCATAATACTCAATGATGAAATATCAAACACATTTCCCCTTAGGTTGGGAATGAGACAAGGATATCCTGTCACCAGTTCTAGTCTACATTATACAGCTAGGAGGTATTAACTACTAAGAAAACTAGTTTAAAAGGTATACAGATTCGAAAGGATCAGGCTAAATTTTCTTTATTCACAGATATTATTGTGCAACTTTCTGAAATGATAGAAATGTCCTATACCTTAATTTAGGTGGTAGTTCCACAGGTATGTGTGTGTATGAATACATATATATGTATGTAAAAAGTTATTCAGTATACACTTAAGATTTGTGCACTTTACTTAGGTAAATTATACCTCAATATAAAAAATCTAACAAGAATGCATTAATGCAATTGGCTAAATGGCCTTTTAAAAATAAATTTTAATGGAGCAAGACAGAGAAACTGTTGCTAACTGTTGAGGCTAGGTAATGGGTACATGAAAGTTTATTTTCTCTACTTTTGTGTATGTTAGAAATTTCCCAAAATGGAAAGTTAAATAGATAAAAAATTTTACACAGACTTTAAAATTCACCTTCATTGTCATCTTGAAAGTTAAATAACACTCTTACCTTTCCTTCCGTTGCTTTCTTTGTTGATGAAATTTCTTTCATAAGCTTGGGAATTTCCCTGTCAAATTGTAAGAGGATTCTTTAAATTTCTAAGGTGTAATTCTTTACAAAAATATTTTAAGATTACAAAATGTACTATCATGTATTTAGTATTTTAAAAATGTGGAATAAAAATTAAAATGAGTTCACATACTCTAATACAACTGCAATATGCCGATGTCGAATTCTGACCCAGAGGTCATCATCTTCTTCAAGGACTGCCTCCTTTTCTTTCCCATCGGTTTTATATCTACAAGTAGAGAGAAGTATGAACTTTTTGATTATTTTCCCACCCAAAAAGTGAAACATTTTTATAAACAATAATTTTAAGATACAGCTCAAGAAACTGAAGAATACATCCACTATTTGGGGGGATAATGAATACATACTCAAAACTAAGGCATATTGCTATCCATAAAATAAAAATCAAAGTGCTATGTCTACCAAGACCTTTTTACTTCCGTTAGGTTTAGCTGTCATTATTATAGAGTTTTATCTCAGCAAAGTGGTATCTTAGAAACAAAAATTCAACGTTCCACAATCAACTTTAAGAACAAGAGTGAATACACTAACAATTTGTATTCTAGTTGCTCAAAACACTACTTTGACATACTAATAACCATCAACTCAACTATCAAACATCCATTAAGAAAAGAAATGTCACCCCCTAATGTAGCCTATTAAGTACTGCAGATGTTTCAGAGTTGGTACAAAATTCACAAACATATATCATCTGTTTCTATATTCTTCCCTAACCCTATAACCACATCTCCTTTAAAGAATGGGAAAGGAAATGAGAGAAAAACTAGTGTAGCCATTAAAAACCTTGATTGCTTTAATGAGTTCTACTGAACTGAGAGGCAATTCAAGAGGTTCATGAAATTACTCAAAATGGGCTTCCTGATTGCTTCCCCAAGAGTAATTCCTCGCTTCTCTTTTTATGCAAATAGCCAGCCTCCTTCCATTTGTGGAGCTGGAAAATTCAATCATCCCTGGGACTGTCAACGTCCTCAAGATCAGAATGGACAGCATTGAGCTTTCCTAGCACTGGATAGCAGACAATAAATGGAGATTTCTGCTGTATAAATATAATCATTTCTACAATCCCCCAAATTTCAGGCCCCATCTATAAAACCATCTACCTATTTGGTCTTAATTACAGATGCCCAAAGGCAGAACGACTGTGCTTAATTACAAGACTGCACTAAGGACAGAGGCCTTTTTGTCATTTAAAATGCTACTTTGTACTTCTTTAACCTTTGATTTATAAACAAAGATTAAGGTAGCAGGCCTGACAATACTAAAAGATGATGACAATCCTAAGAGTACATTTAAAGAGGTCACCAAGATGAAGAACACAGTCTGGATACTTAGAAGTTTCTGCTCTGCATTACTTCCATTAAAAATTGGGATGGAGCACAACCCACAGGGAGTTCGTGCTTCCACCTAGTCTTATCCCTGGACTTTTTCGATTCATTCAAAAAATCTCTGACTTCTTTGTTTTTGTTTTTAAATAAGTCTCTCTATTACTCTTAAAAAATTAAACCTTGCTTTGCTTGCCAGCAAACCTAGGGAGATCATCTTTTTTAAAAAGTACTAGGTTAGAAATGTCTGAAACTTATGTCAATAGTCTGGAACCAAATTCTTAAGTGTCCATCAGTTTAAGTCGTTTCTAAGTCTCTTGAGCAACGTAGGTTTAGAGACCTAAAGGATAAGAGAGGTAAACAACATGCTTTCTGAAAATTCTGAAAAAACTGCTTAAAACTACTTTTATATTAGAATAACTACTTTTGTATTAGAAAAACTACTTTTATATTAGAAGAATGTTGATCTACGTCATCTAACATTAATACAAATAAAGAAAAACTCAGAAGCCAGGATCTGACCAGAATGCAAATAAAAATACAATAGAAAATACAAAATTAGTTTAACAATATTTGGTTTAAGAAAAAATATTAAGTATTATAATTAGCACAAGTTTTTGGATCTTTTTAATCTATTAAAATTACTAAATTAATTTAAACATAAAATTTCAGAAAACTAATTTTCTTTTTTATTACTATGCTCAAAGCAGTAAATCTTAGCTGAAAAATGCCAATCTGGATTTAGAAATTATAATATCAAACAACATGTTATATATTTATGTGTATATATATATATATATGTATGTGTGTGTATATATATACACACACTCATAAATGATGCACAAAGGTACAATAAAATGGTTCCTTAACAGAAAAGTGATTTCATTTTTCATTTAGCTACTTGATATTACTTTTAAAGTTAATATGCTTATATGAGAGTTAAGTCAATAATAGGTACCAAATTGGTAAACTTGTATCTATTCTCAATAACCATCCTAATGAGGTTCCTAGTCTTCTAATCTTTTTAAATACACTATGTTGACAAGACACACATATAGATAACTTTTGGATGTGTGATTCAGAATAATCACAGCCTAACCAATTTGAATATGGTTTCCACTTCAATAAATATAGTAGTGAGCCTGGTATTTACTGAAAAGTACAAATTCCAGCTGTTTAAAATCTATTTTTGTTGTAGACACAGTTAAGGAAGCAAATACACCGAAAAAGCTTCAAAGCAGTTAAATTACCCATTAACTAACAAGGTCAAGATATTTTTAACAGATTATGATTATAGAGGTAAGAGAAAGATAAAGTCTCTGAATGAAAAAGGTTACAGGGGCTTTAGATTTCCGGTGCCTGCACGAATCATTAAATGCTAATATCCTATCCTGTTTGTATATGCCCTATATATTCCCTTCAAGTTATACTTGCTTGTATGTATCATTCTCAATCGGCAGTAGATCATATGCCATTGCCTGAAAGGTCAGTTCATGCAGGACAGTGGACACAGGATCAAAGCCACGATCAATTATTATGAGCTGGGAATGAGTTTTACCCTGGAATAACAAAATAAAATTATCTTAAGAAACTTCAATTTCTTTGTGTGAACACATTTTTAGTATCTTAGAAAACAAAAGCAGACTTTTCCTAAGTTCTGCCCCATTCCTAAGAATGTGAAGTTATATTAAAACAGAAAAATCTGAGTGGTATAACAGGGGAAAAAAATAAGACTACAAAACCAAAAGCTTTCATAATTAGAGTAAGAGGCTATACTCAATAATACGATATTGTGAAAATCCCTTTAAAAAAAGTAACATTTGGCCTGCACTAAATCTATTTCCTTAGGAATTCAGCTCCATAAACACTAAAACTGATATAAATTATGAATAGTAGTTATTACTTGAGCTCTTTATGCTACACACTGTGCTAAGCAAGAAATATCCATATTATTTAATTCTTATAGCAACCCTGTGAGACAGGAATTATTAACTCCATTTGACAATGGGGGCATTAAGGCTTAAAATTAAGTAACTTGCCCAAATCACATAGCTAGCTAGTATGTGGTAGAATGGAGATTCAAACCCAGGTCAGCTTCACTCCATGGCCTGTACTCGTAACCTTTACGCATTTTAAAAGATTACATTGATGCCAGCTAAGATGGTAAATTACAATGAAAGCTTTGCTATCATTAACTCACAAACAGCACTAATCATTAAACAGTGAATAATAGTGCTGGGAAAAATCATTGTTAATATCAGTATCTTCTATACTTCATTTTAAAAAGTAATAAATTCTCTGGATTATTATTTGGAGCAGTAAGAGATAACTACAACTCAGACAAACATTTCTTATTTATTTACTTCCAGCAGACAAAGGTAAACTACATAGAATAGATCTTTAGAATTTTTTTTAGTTAACCATTCACTCATTTAAATAAACCTTGAGATAGTATGGTATAGTGATTAAGAGCACAGCCTCTGGAATCAGGTAGATCTGGGTGTGAATCCAGCCTTGACCACTTTCTCTCTTTTTTTTTTTTTTTAATTTTTTGGCCACGCCACGCAGCTTATGGGATTTTAGTTCCCTGACCAGGGATCGAACGTGGGCCCTCGGCAGTGACAGCATGGAGTCCTAACCACTGAACCTCCAGAGAATTCCCAGCCTTGACCACTTTCTTGTTGTACAACTTTGGACAAATTGCTTAACTTGTTAATATCTCAGTATTCTCATTAAAAAACAAACAAAAATATATATTTAATCAGAACCTCTGCCCTACAAGATTACTGTAAAGATTAAATGTAATAATACCATGAACACTTATCACAGTGCCTGGCACTTAGTAAGCCCTCAATACATGTAAGTTATGAGTCTTCAGAAATATGAATAGGAAAAAGACTGTGCAATATAAGTGCTATATCAGGGCTTGGGGCTATGAAAGTATGTGAGAGGAAGAATCGCTTGACCTGAAGAGTGAGGAAAGACTTCAAAAAGGAGGTGACACTCTCTCAGGTCCTTGAATGAAGAAAAGGTATCAAGCATTTCCAAGGTGTATAATTTCTGAGGCAGAAAGAATGGAAAGGACAAGTTTGGTTTTTGTGGATTTTCCTTTTTATCACTGAAATCATGAAGGACTAAAGGGATATTAACTAATATAATGATCGTTTATCTTTCCTCATTCAACAAACATTTATTGACTACCTACTATACTATGTATACCGAGCCATTATCTTCATAACTACAACCAGGACAACAGATTTCACTAGTCCTCCAAACCAAAAACTAGTAACTTTTTAAAGTTCTGAACCAACATTACATCTAATCTTACACCCTCCATTCTAGCCAAGTTGTTTGTGAATTTTGCCTTTTTCTCTATGCCTCTGCCCAAAGAACCCTGTTATCCAAGAAAAAAACTCCCTCTTCTGTTATACTCATTCTTCAAGCTCAAGGGCCTCTTCCTCTAGGATGCCTTCCAAGACTCCAGTTACAGTAAGATTAAGCCCCAGCCTATGTTCCCACTACATTTCATGTATCCTTCTCTCATTCCTCTTACTACATGCATTGTAATTGGTGGTTTCCTTGCCCATCTCCTCTTCTAAACTATCAACAGTTCCTTCTTTTTATTTTTCAGCTACTGTAATATGGCTTCGTAGCCCTGTGGCACCACCTCTGGCAGTCTACTCAAGCTCTTCACTCTCCAACCCAAGCTCAAATGCTAGAATTCCCTAGGTTCTAATCTTAGTCTTAGATTACTTTATATTACCTTGATAAGACAGCAATAGCTATCATTCATTAAACTCCTATTATATGCCAAACACAAGCTAATCTGCCTAACCTTCATACCAACCAAGTAAGGTACATATCATCTGATCCATTTTATAGATGAAAATACAACTCAGAGTAAATAATATGTCCAAGAACACAAAGCTGGTGATAACAGGAAAAATTATGTTTATTAACTGTTTACTCAGTTGCAAGCACTATTCTAAAAACTTTTTATGTATTAACTCATTTAATCCTCTATTTTATAATATAGGTATTCTCTTATTATCCCCATTTTATAGGTAAGAAAACTTAGGCACAGAGAAGTTACATCATTTGCTAATTGACATATCTATGAATTAAATGGCATAGCCAGGATATAGACAAAGTGCTTATTTCAAAACCCTTATCTTCTCCTCTAAGCCACACTGTCTATTAAGACTTCTACTACCACTTATATCAGTGATTCCCAAATCAAAATTGGGGATCTGTGTTAATGATTCTCAAATCAATACTGGAAAATGAATGAACAACAGTTTCCTTGGTTTAGAAAGAAATAAGACAGACTTTATGCATAACCACTATTTATCTTTTATATGTTACCTTTATTAGGCTCTTCTCATCAATCTTGTAGTAGTTTTCAAGTTTTTTTTCAACAAGCTGAGCAAGCTTACTGGCATTATCCAGAGGTTTACTAGAAATGGAAAAAATGTTCGAACAATTATCTTTCTTTCAAGACACACTTTACAATATCAAGTTGAATTCTAAAATTAAGCCATAAATTTATTAATTTAAAAGATTTTATAAACATGGAGAAGTTCAGATAATACATCAAATATAATGCTATATCAATTTGTCTGGATTTTATCAATGTAAACCTTATTATATGTGCTTCAGAGTTTTTTTCATATGAAGGAAATATTATAAATAAAACCGCAGCTCCTTTATTCCCCTCCCAATTCTCGGTCTTCTCCCCCACCCCTAGCTACCCCCACTCCAAGGCAATACTATCATGAATTTGATGTGTATTCTTCCTGTCATTACTATTATACATATGTTTACTGTTTTATATGTGTTTTAACTGTATGTTTTTACTGTTATATATATGTGTGAGATCTATGTTGACACATATCAAATTTAATCATTTTAGTTCAATATAGTATTCCATCATATGATTTATACTGGATTCTATACATTCATTCCCCTAAAGATGGATATTTAAGTCATTCTCAATTTTATACCATTGCAAACAACATTGAAACAAATATCTTTGTACATACATCTCCATGTACATGTTTCTCTAGATATATTATTTCTAGAAGTATAATTGCTAGATTATATGGTATGTACATTTTCAACTTTTCCAAATATTACCATATTACTCTCCAAATTACTTGACCAATTATCTCTCCCACTAGCAGTATGAGATCTCCCAACATGCTCTCTAACATTCAGTCAACTTTCCAATATAGTCTTTTGCATAAAATCTTATATACCACTGTCTTCTAAAATGATAAAATCATACTCTAAATTGTAACTTCATGACCAGTGACATTAGTATAATTTCTGAGTCTACAAGAAATTTTAAGAAAAGGCTCTTCAATTAGCAAACCAACCTCAAAAATGGAGGCTCTCCTTGTAAGGGGCTTCAAAGTGTTAAAGGACCTTTAGGTTTTATACCTCAAAAGTAAATAAAGAAGCAACTATAAAGAATAATTTATTACACATTTTGCTTTAAAATATTTTCAAAAGGAAATAATTTCATGTTAGAATTACACTTGAAAAGTCCATGAGGCATAAAAGAATACTTTGTGAAAGAACAGGTAGGATTCTAAAAGCCTGATTATTTAACTATTACAATAACTCCAAACAGGTCCAAAGGTGAGCTATTAAATTATAAATTGGCCTCAGTTATCCCTCAGTATCCACAGGGGATTGGCTCCAGGACCTCACTCAGATTTCAAAATCTATGGATGCGTAAGCCCCTTTTATAAAATGGCGTAGTATTTGCATATAAACTATGCATATCCCCCACATACTTTAAATCACCTCTAGATTACTTATAACACTAATACAGTGTAAATGCTATGTAAATAGTCATAAATACAATGTAAATGTTATGTAAATAGTTCTCTGCATGTAGCAAATTCAAGTTTTGCTTTCTGGAACTTCCTGGAATTTTGTTTTCTTAATATTTTCAATCCACGATTGGTTGAATCTGAGGATGCCGAACCTGTGGATACATATGGCCGACTATATTACATACTCATTTCCCTGAACAGAGCCAAACACCAAGAGTAGAAGCTTTAACAGAGACTGAACTCTAGCAGGAGATAAACCACTTAGTTCAGAATGTAATTAGCATATCACCTATAAGAAAAAGAATGTTTCCAACACCTGAGGTATGAGTGAAGAGCCTGTTTGGTCACATCTGAATTAAGGAGATTTACTATATACTTTCTAAGTAATTAACAGAAAATTTTTTAAATGGTCAAGAATAATGAAACTTAAATATAAAGTACTACATGGATTTGAAATTAAACAATTCATCCAACTACCTTGACAAATGTCAATGTTTAAGTTAAAGAAACTTTTAAAACAGAAACAAGTGACATAACTTATTAGTAGTAGTACAGTATATTTACGTCTACTAGTTTATTAGTGTCATACACTATTTTGAGTTCTTTACAGATATTAACTCATTTAATTCTAAAAACAACCTTATAAGGTGAGTACTATGATTGTTCCCATTTCATAGATAAAGAAACTGAGAGCAGAAGGATCACACAGCCAGTAAGTAGCAGAGATTAAAATCCAAGCTGTCTGGCTACACAGAACAACATGAATGTCTAAGAACATAATACTGAACAAAGCCAGAAATGAAAAACATCAAGCTCAAAATCAGGCAAAACTAAAATATGTGTTAGAAGTCAAGATAGTAGTTATCTCTGGGGAGGAGACAGGGGGTGATGACTAGAGGGGATCATGAGGGGGGCCTCTGAGACACTGTTAGTATTCTATTTCTTGACCTTGGTGAAATTAGATAGGTATTTCACTTTGGAATGATTTATCAAGCCATATAAATATAATTTATGCACTTTACAGTAAACTTTACTTTTAATAAGAAACAAATAAATAAAGGTACATAGTACTAAAGTCAAACTTTAACTTTTAAAAAACTCCAAAAATCGGGCTTCCCTGGTGGCGCAGCGGGTAAGAATCCACCTGCCAATGCAGGGGACACGGGTCCGAGCCCTGGTCCAGGAAGATGCCACATGCCGCAGAGCAACTAAGCCTGCGCTCCAGAGCTTGCGAGCCACAACTACTGAGCCCACGTGCCACAACTACTGAAGCCTGCACGCCAAGAGCCGGTGCTCCGCAACAAGAGAAGCCAGCACAATGAGAAGCCCGCGCACCACAACGAGGAGCAGCCCCCGCTCGCCGCAACTAGAGAAAGCCTGTGCGCAGCAATGAAGACCCAATGCAGCCAAAAATAAAATAAAAGCTGTGACAAAGTGAGAGAGAGGCATAGACATATATACACTACCAAACATAAAATAGATAGCTAGTGGGAAGCAGCCGCATAGCACAGGGAGATCAGCTCGGTGCTTTGTGCCCACCTAGAGGGGTGGGATAGGGAGGGTGTGAGGGAGGGAGACGCAAGAGGGAAGAGATATGGAAACATATGTATATGTACAACTGATTCACTTTGTTATAAAGCAGAAACTAACACACCATTGTAATGCAATTATACTCCAATAAAGATGTAAAAAAACAAAAAACAAAAAAAACCTCCAAAAATCTATTTAAAATGGCTACTGGAATTAAATACCATAGATATTTAGATACTATAACCAGTATCCAGATATTATGACTATTTAAATTTGGTGGAAATACAATAAAACATTAAATGTAAGATGGTATTCCCCATAGGACAACAAAGACATTCTTCTAAGCATTCCTTAAACTCATGAAAAATATACATGTAAACCATACCAAATTTAAGCTCTGAAATTCAGTAATAGAGGATATTAGTTACTCTGAAATTTAAGCCTTAAACTTTAAATCTCCTATATGTACAGCATAATTTTATAAAGAAAATAAATTCTGCAAACCAACACACAAAAGCACAGAGACATTACTTACCTGTACACCAAAGAGCAAATAGATAGCATAACATATAAAGGCACCACTGAGTGTCTTACCTTTTATATCTTACTCCAGGATTTTCATCCAGGGTAGCACATACTGTAACTATCTGCTCAGCCATCGCTTCCATGATGATATCTTTTCCATTTGCATTACTAGGGTCTGGAGTGTAACAGTAATAGAATGCATCTGGTACATCAAGAGTATATACCTAAGTTAGGCCAAAAAAAGTCACACTGTCAATTTAGAAACTTGACTAAAAATATCTATCTAGAAAAACACAGCTATTCCTTGGGATTCTAAAAAAAAATACTTGCACCAACCATGCTGTTTCCTGAAACAACTGTGTCTTTGCCTTAATCAAATCTCATATTCTCTGTCATCTTGATTTCATCCTTTATTTCTTTTCTCACTCTCCTTTCCTGCTTAGTCTACCTCTCTCCTTCAATTCTTGTTTCATATAAAGATTGTACTCTTTGATTTTCTCTACCTGTGCAGCAGATGAAGAAATCTGAGGTAGTCAAATAAAAATAAAAATCTAAAACCTGGCACAAAGAAATAAAACAAAGCCAAAATTGGTCTATATATTTGACATACATTAAAATCTTAACCCATTAGAGAATAACCTAGAAATTTTCCAAAGTTGATATATATTTCAACTCTTTAGCTTATACTCTTAATGTCCTTAAAATAGAGACATACTTCCCCCAAAGACACAGCATTGTGCCAGACATAGTACTGGTCTTACGATATATACAGTGAAACCTCACAGACATTTTTCAACTAACAAAAGCATTTACTTACATGCAAAGAATTGGATTAGAGATTTACTATTATTGTGTTACTTGAAGAATACAAAAGAAAAAGCTCTCTAATTGGAGTTGAGATTTTCCCATTAAATTAATTTTAATCTTGTTTTTTAAACAATGATAGTAATCCCCCTTAGCCTAGGATAATGTATTGAGTGTAAAAGTAGACATGTAATAAACATTATAGGTTAACTAATGAATTATGAAAAAACTTCCCTGCATTTCCTTTCACACAAAGTAATTCGTTTCTCTGAACATAACCCATCACTAACAGCAGCAGCCTGAACACAGACTGAGATTTAGCTGACGCTACCACTTATGTCTGTGTTGCTGTATTAACAAAGTCTTAGTTGCTGTATTAACTGCCAACAAGCACCCTACAGCTGGACTGTGGCTTTCTCATAGCATTCTACCCCATTGCAGTAGATAGTATCTGTTCAAAAATATTTATTGCCCTCCTTACAGGGCCTCTCCCTATGGGAGTATACTTCCCACTCATTGATATCAGGCTTGCTATGGTCACTGGAATGTGAGTAGAAGTGACATGTGCCACTTCCCTACAGAAGCTTTAAAAGCCATTGTATGGCTCCACCATTTCTCTTTTCCCTCTGCTATGTCCCAGACAGGGGCTACTCCTTCAGCCTAAGTCCCAGAATGAAGAGGATGTAGAGCAAAGCCCCAGTCAAACCAAAATGGACACTAACGTGAAGGAGAAATAAACTTTGTTGTTGTAATGCACTGTGATTTGGGGAGTTGTTACCACAGCTTAAATTAATCTTAGCTATTATCTAATACTCTAATGAACCAAATACAATTTTGGAGCTGGTTTTCATTCTATACTCACATCTTCCTTTTCCTTCCTTCTCCTTCCCCCACTTTCCATCACCACCATGACATGTTCCTTTAGACTATTACTAAATGCTTTCTTCATCTCTATGACCCACAATCAGCTCCTTAAATATAGGAACTCTCCCCCCACAACCTCCCTCTACTTTTCTTCCTAAATTATAGCCAGCTTAGCTCTGTTTCTACCTAGATACAATCTAGCACCCTCTCCACTAACTATACCAGACTTTTTGTACTCCCTGAGGTCAACTGTAAACAAACTCCCTTATATTCTTTAATGCTTTCCATCTAATTGCCCTAATGTATATGTGACAGCATTAATTACCTTAAACCCTTTGAAAGGGAAAGAGAGCTTTCTTTAATCCCTTTGACTCATGGATTCAGGAGGAGTCAACTACTCTCCTCTCTATGAAACTTCGAAATATGATGAATGTCCAACTTCTCTTCTTCGGAAGACTATCATTTCTGACTTTACCAATTTCTCCTCAACGATCACCCAACTTCTACTTTTCCTTAAAGACTTTAGGACTTTTCTGTACCAGCCCATTTTCTGCTATCACTCTTGATGGAACCTGGTGCCTCCTACAACCTGGTCCCAACCTACCTACAGACACAGCCTTATCTATCATACCATCACCCATTATAATCCTTATTCCTGCTGCTCCCCTGCACTTTCCTGCTTCTGTATCTTTGCACTCACGCTATTCTCACTTCTTAGAATATTTCCTCCCTCTTCATTACTACCTTACGAAATTCTATTTTTCAAGTGTTTTCTCATTTTCCTAGTAAGAATTAATCTCCTCTTTTGGCAGACTATGAGCTGCCTCCTAAAAAACCATTGTTCCCTTACTTTTCAGTAATCATACCAATTATTTGGGGTAAGCAGCCATACGCTCAGCTAAAAGACTACATTTCCATTTTCCATGCACTTGGGGATTGCCATGTGACTATATTTTAGCTAATAAGATATAAATGAAAATGTACTTTCTTCTTTCTCTCCTTCATCCTCCTTCCTCAAATGAGAACATAATAATTCTACAGACATCTTGGATCATGAGGGCCATCCCTAAGAGACCAGGCCCCTGACAATTTTGTACAGCCAGCATACCGGACTTATATAGCCCACTTCCTGACTTTTTGTATATTAGCAAGAAATAAATTTCCAACTTGGTTAAACACTGAAAGTTTAAGTTGTCCTGTTATATGCAGTTGAACCTAATCTTAACTGATATTGTTTTGAAGATGCGTAATACTTTGTATCTCTTTCACAGCTCTCGGATGAGGTGGGGCACATATCTTGATCATCTTTCCATAGCATACTCTTTGCATCTAGAAGACAATGTCCACAGCACATGCTCTTGATAAACGCTCACATAGGCCTTTGCTTACAGCTCAAAGCAGTTAGCAGTATTTCATTTATATCTTCACTTGCAAACAAACAAAAGGTCACAATACAAAACTGAGAAAATTACAATTTTCACTGTAATTTCCCCATAACAGTTAAATTTATTAAGTAAACTCCCTTAAGATATTTATCAAGGAAGTAAATTAAAAGAAAAAACTTTTTAGGGAAAAAACATAGCCAACAGATAGGAGCTTAAATAATCATAACATTTTGCAAAGACTGGTAAGTAGAAGAGTCTCATGAGATTTGTCTATACACACAAAGACAAGTTATTTCCATCAGCCATCAAATTAGTCAGATATATACACAAACCTCTCCTCCATATACAGCAATTATTGAAATTTACTGAATTCTGAGGCTAAAACCGTATTTATCTTCTGTGCGGCAAGATGCTCTGGACACATTTGTAATATTTTTCACACCGCTATTTAATCCCACAACATTTTAGGATGCCCATTTTCACTCTACACTGAACTTACATATCATATGAAAAAGAATAAATCTAAAGGTAACCTTTGGAAAACAGTTTAATGTTAAGCAGATATCTTAAAATTTTACAAACTTGATTATGGTCTTTCTTTGTCAAAAACAGCAACAGCTTAGGGACTTCCCTGGTGGTCCAGTTGTAAAGAATCTGCCTTCTGATGCAGGGGACGCAGGTTTGATCTCTGGTCGGGGAACTAAGATCCCACATGCCACGGGGCAACTAAGCCCACACGCCACAACTAGAGAAGAGAAAACCTGCATGCCACAACTAGAGAGAGAAAAACCCACATGCCACAACTAGAGAGAAGCCCGGGCACCGCAAAGAAAGATCACGTGTGCCTCAACGAAGATTCCGTGTGCCACAACCAAGACCCGACGCAGCCAAATAAATAAATAATATTAAAACACACACACACACACAAAAAAACCCAAAAAACCCAGCAACAGCTTAAAAGAAAAATTCATTATCCAGGACCATTCTATTTCTTAAAATATTGACCTTAGAGTTCCAAACAACAGTAAACTATTTCAATTCTATGAAATGTTGGAATCCAAACACAGAGAACAGAGCTAAACAATGCACCAGCTGTGTGATTACGGCAAGTTACTTAACCTCTTTGATTCCCCCATCTTTAAAATGTAGATAGAATTATCATCTGTTCATAGGGCTATTGTGAAGATTACTTGCATACATTTATGTAAAGCATTTAGGAAAGTGACACAGAGAAAGTACTATGTGTTTGCAATTATTAATTGAAGGCTCATTAACTATTCCAAAGGCAAAACAAATCTACAAAAATCCTTCATTTTATAAATTAAATAATAGTTTATATAACATTATGTAAAAAGTTTACTAAAGAACTTTGTTTTAATATCACAAATGGTTACAGAAGCGAAAAGTATTTATCTCTTTGGAGTCATTTAACAAACATTATGCTAAAAATCTTCTGGTTTCATAATCTGATAGGTCTGTAAACCTTGACACACACAGGACTTAGCGGGAGATACGAAATTTAAGTCCACTTTCATTATTAATGTTATATTCCAATTTAGTACTCATGCTCCTCCCTTCATCAGAGGAAATATTTATTTGTGGATTGTTCAAACTTCACCAAATATATAATATATAAAACATCTTTAGGATAAACCTTATTAACAAATAAGTTCATAAAACTGAATTTTAAAATCCATTATAAACTAAACTTAAAAATAAAAGGCATTTGGGTCTTCTGAGCACAAGCTGCCCATTCACCTTGCTTGACCCTTGTAACAAACCTTTCTCTGCTCAAAAAAAAAATTGTTTTAATAAAAAATAAATTAAAAAAATAAAAATAGAAAGTACCTGAGATTCAAGTGGAATGAAGGAAATATTTATTTCTTTACATCTTCTTATTGTCTTGGAGCAAGAAGCCTTAATTTTGTTAAAGAGACTATCAGGGCAAACTGAGAGGGAAAAAAACAAAATCAAAGCATATAGCTGCATTTAAATTTTCCTTCTTTTGAGTAAATCATTCCAACATCCAAGATATTTATTTTTTATATATAATTACTGACTTTCACAAAGTAATTTTACTATGAGGACAGAAATAATATGTAAATACTGTTTTTTCACTTTATAGAACAGATGCATTCTAGTAATGAGGGCTGTAATAGAAATTCCACTTTCCCCATTCATATCCACCGTAACCTAAGATATATTTCCTTAGAGAGCTGCTAATACAGCAAACTAAAATTGTTAGGAAGGAAAATCAAGTCCAAACTAAGGACTTAATAAACTTTCACAGGACTTTCAGAACTTCTTAGGAATTTATACTACTTTTCTAAATCTACCATTAAGAGCAGCCACACCACACAAATTTTTAATTTTTCCTTGAATTACAGGATATCCTTTAGTGTCAGGAAATTCTAAACCTCTAAACTAGTAAGTTCTGGACTTTAGAACCTTTCTTTTCCCCCCTCTTACCTAACTGCTTATATAGTTTCACTAAAACTAGGTTGGAGTATCAACCACTGGCTTCTGCTGTCTTTTAACATGTTGTTCTTTATCCTCAAAATGCCTTAAATTAAAAGAGGCTTCATACTCATTAAATTTTATCAATTCCATAAACATGAATTTCTGTATAATAAGGTTACTTAAATGACAAATACTTATGATATGGCCTTATAAAAATTGCAAGCTACTACTAGGTATGAGCTAAATAAAAATTTACAGGAAAAATAAAAATTTACAGGAAAAATAATATAGAAAGCTGCTTTTTATTTGAATGTACAGCATAGAAAAAGAAATGTGATAGGTTTTCTCGCTTAATATTAGCAAACAGATGGCAGTTTCTTCAGTGCATCTCCCAAAGCGTCTTATTTTTTTATTATATAATCAAATCCCCAGTTGAAACTTTTATTTAAAGAAGAATTCTTCCTGTTATTGGCACAGAATTTGAGGGATAGCCCTCTCCATCAACCCCCTCACCCCTGTACACCAGCAAAAATGACTATCTTTTGAAACTAGTTTGGAATGATTTAATTTTCTATCACCTTACCATGAATTAGCATAGAAATAATCTTATATTTTTAGATTCCTTCTAACCTAATTAGAACAAACAATAAATAGAAAGCACTAGTACTAAAATAGCATTACAAGAAATACTTCATAATTAATAGGATTTGAAATAATGAAGCAATAACTTTTACAAAGCTACTTACAGTCAGTGAAGTAGATATACGCTGCTTTGTATTTGTTCTCCGATTTACTTCCGAAATCACGTAAAAAACAGTCTACAGACTTAAAAAAGGTTAGATGTTAATATACATTTTATCAAATACTAAGTTAAATATGCTATCTTTTGAAATAACTAAGATTATTTTGATGATAAAGTAAAACCTTAACTGTCAAAAGATTAATTTATAAACTGATTTTTTAAGATGCTATGTTGTCTAGCCAGTTATAGCTAGAAGCATAGTAAGTAGTAGGGTAAAATGTATGAATAGAGTGCTGTTTTGGTGACGAGGAGCTCTAGGAATGGTCAAGTGACTGAGAAGCTGAAGCAACATAAAAGACAAGACCACTGGAAGATAACAGATCAAGGAATTGAGAAATCAATGAACGTACTGAAAGTATTACCTACAGGGAAAATGAAACCATCCAGACTATGACTGGTGAACTGTTGAACAGACTGACAGTGAGCTAGGAGCTAAAATTGTCAAGGGGGATTAGAAAGAAAAAGCCAAAGGCTGGCAGACTGCGAAGAGGAGGGAGAGCAGGTAATATAGTCTAATAGTATTTGCCTCTATGCTGGTAGTTTTAAAGATACAGTAGCCTGAAAGCAAAAATGAAGAACAAACAATTTAATTCTCTCTCATCCATCTGTTCCTTTTTCTCCTCCTGCAACTCCTAGAACTAGTATATTTCTGTTAGAGCTCATGAATCTATCCTGCAAGTCTCTTATCCTTCCCCTCATGATTTCAATGATTGTTTTTTTGCTTTGAGATACTCCATTTTATCTTTTAGACTATTAATTCAAATTTCCATAGTGATTATCCTCTTCAATTAACTCTTTAACTGAGAAAATACACTTCTGAGCTTCAGAAAGTTTATGTGCTATACCAGACTTTTCTTAAGTGTACTGTTTTTCTGTTCTGGTTATCATTCTTCCCTCCAAGCCCCTATACGTTGCTAGACGTGCCCTTTTTTTCATTCTTACTAAACTGTCTCTCTCTGGCCACCTGACCTACTTAGATGTGTGGTTGCTTCTCTTTGTCAGCTCATTTGAAGCTTAGGTTTAGTTGTTGGAGTATCCTAAATAGAGGCAGTACCATAAGAAGAGGATGGCGAAGAGGAAGGCAAAGAAGTTTCTCCTCCTGAGGGCTGTAAGTATAAAAGCAAAAATCCACCCAACTGACCTTTCCCCTAGGGTTCACAGATCTCATACATAAACTCTTCCTGAAATCTGTCATTTTATGACCCTTGCTTGGGAACTCTCTGATGCTGGTCTCCACGTGCTCACCCAGCCCCTGAGGAAGGAAATCTCACACCAAGTTTCTCTACAAGTACCCAAGGAGCCCAAGGCCTCACATACACCCAGAGGCCTATAGAACCCAAGAGCTAATTGATTCAGGACAGGAAGAGAAACTGGAGTTGGTTGTGGTAGATAAAGGAGTCACATTCAGGTATCATTTTCTTTAAATCCTTTGATACTTTATTGAATACATAATTTTGTATCCTGCTTTTGTCACTCACATTAAAAATTAACATTTATACAGATCATTAAAATTTTCTAGAAACCTCATTTTCTATGGCCACATGGTATTTCATACCAGTATTTGTTAATGCTAAGAATTTATCTGGATATCTTTATTGCTTTTGAAATTTAGCTTGACAATTTATTTGATTTTTTTTTTACAATAAACTCCAAGATTCAGAACATTTCAAGGTTCTTGATACAGTGAATTATTTTCCAAAAAGGCTATATTAATCTATACTCCCACTAGCAGTATATAGTAGTTTCTACTCCATTAACCATTGATAATGGGTATTGACAGCTAGAATAGGATACATAGATAAATAAATAAATGTCTACATATACACACTTTTTTTTAATCCCTCTGCCTATTTAGTAGGTGAAAATGGTGCTTCTTTCATTTTTTCCGATCATGAATTTTATCTTATAAAATTATATTATGGATAAGATATAAAACGTCATTAAAATCCACCAGCAGCCAATATGTAGAGACCATATAGTAAATGTCTGGGTTTTTCCCTACTGTCTGCTCTGCTAGAGTTAGAAGAAATGAAATTGGAATTGCCAAATTAAAATTCTTATTCTAAGAATAAGCCAAAGGATGTGTTGGAAAATGCATTCTCAGATACTATACAGAATAAAGGAATTTGATACTTTATATGGCTCTACAGTTTTGGCTTTAAGTATGAATTAAATCATGGTTAGATTATAAAGAAATACCTTTCCCATAAAAAATATATATACACATACATATACGCATATATACATACATATATGTGTGTACACCCATACATATATGTATACTATAGGGAAGTCACTAAGATAAATGAAAGATTAATCCAAGACCATTTCTTTTACATACATTTCCATCCTCCTAAAAATTATGGTTGAATAGAAACTGCATGGGTACAAATTATTGAAAGAAACTCTATCATTTTATATAATTAAATTCTGCTTTAATAGACAGGGAGAAAGGAATTCTTTCACTTAAATATTCTCATTGAGAAGAATGCAAATGAAACAATCTTCTAACACAGGGAGACTCTCCTAAGCATCTAATAAAGGACATTTTATTACTTTGAATTTTCTAAGAGAAAATCATGTCAATGGTGAAAATTTTGAAGAACATACTTTTTAAAGATTCAAAACACTCACCTTTGATGTTGGAGAGATAAAATAAAGAGCTTTCATTTGTCTGACAGGTTCTCGATTCTTATAAATATTCTCCACAACTAACCAAAAAAAAAAAGTCATTTTATATAACCAAATATTTATAAACTTGAAACAATTTTTAAATGAAATTCACTGTACTTCTTTATTTATAATAATATAGAAACACAATTGTATATCCTGGGCTTAACGTTTTCTTTGTCTTCACTTGAAAAATTAAAAAGTCCTGAAAATGTGTCTTCCCTAAACTCTGGGCTAAGTGTTCATCATGAGAAAAAAAGATAAAGCAGCTATTTGATAGCTAGGTCTACCAGCATAAGCAATCAACATGCCATGAAGAAACCAAGAAATGCATTTAAAATTAAAATATGTATTTCTTTGGGCTTCCCTGGTGGCGCAGTGGTTGAGAGTCCACCTGCCGATGCAGGGGACACGAGTTCGTGCCCCGGTCTGGGAAGATCCCACATGCCGTGGAGCGGCTAGGCCCGTGAGCCATGGCCGCTGGGCCTGCGCGTCTGGAGCCTGTGCTCCGCAACGGGAGAGGCCACAATAGTGAGAGGCCCGTGTATCGAAAAAAAAAAATGTATTTCTTTAAAAAAATATTCTACTATAATAATAGAAAATATAATATCAGAAATCAGGCTAAGCATGAATTATCTGTTAAACCTCATAATAACCCTTTATGTATTTTACAAATGAGGTAACTGAGGCTTAAAAAAGTTAAGAAACTTATCCAAGTTACACAGTAAGAAAGAAGAGACAGGATTCCAACCCACATCTGTCCAACTCTAGAGTCTAAGTTTTCAACTGCTATAACATTCTTTAAATAAATTGCCAATTAACTCTTTTTCTTTTAAAACCACACATTAATATAAATCATTTTTCAACAATGAAGTATCACCATAATTTAATCAATTATATTTTTATTATTGAAATTAAGAACTTTATAAATAACTAATATAAAACAAAGTGAATTTAAAACTAGTAAGCCCTAAATTGTCAAATTAACTATGAAGGCTATATTAAAACAATACTAACTTAAAGTATCATTCTACAAATCAAGAGAACCATCTTTCAAGATTCACGCTGGCAAAGGGCCTAGAAAGAATTTAAAACATTAATCTGACATGCAAGGAAGGCTACTGTTGGACTTCTCTTTTAAATACGATGATTCATTTTCTCATCCCTAAATTTATACTAGTATAGTATAGGTTTATCATAGCTTCTGTTAGAGAGGATATCAAATAAGATTTCTGAGGAAATAGTTAATTTTATTTTTATCTCCACTCCCAACAATTGTAATTTCACCTTTAAAAGATTATGGTTAAATCTGTGTTAATTTACTTTTATTGCTTAGTGCCCAAAATAAAGTGTCTTACAGTCATCTTATGCTGTACATACTATGTATTATGTTTGGAGAGTAACGTACATGTTAAAATGTTGTAATATGATTTAGAACACAGACTTTGAAAAGATTCTGAAATGTCTGGTTATCAATAGCAGAAAGTGCCACTTCTTCAATTCACTGAAAAGTGGATATCTATTAAATGATAAAAAAAGAAAGGTTTTTATGATTATTCCTATAATAGTGACAAAGGAATAATCTAATTCCAAGTCTATTTTTTTTTAAAGGTTTTTACTTGACTTTAGTGGAGACACTGAGGTAGAATCACACGTGTATTTTTTTTCTCATGGTTTTTAAAAGTTCCAAGACACACTGAATATTTTCACAAATGACCTGAACGCAGACAGAAAGTCTGATCACTGAACGGCCAATGCAGGTGAGCTGATGTGGAACTCAAAAGAAATGTGCCATGTTCAAGTTAGTAGATATGATTATGATTAAATCAGAGCAAACCTAGGTGACTGGAGGATATTGAGAACAATCCACAGCAATACGCTCCATGATATACAGTCCTATATAATACTTCCCAAAAAAGGCTTCTGTGGTCAAATAAGTTTAGAAAACTGAATACTATACCTATTCACAGGGGATCCACATTATCTGCTAGCATATAAAAAACTCCAAAAAAGTCCTAAAGAAAACTGTTAGCTTTGTTAATGCAGTTTCCCAAACTAACGTGGCCACAGAGTCCTTTCCTTGAACAATATCAATCAACACTGAACACACAGTAAGAAACAATGGTCTATAAAAATTCAATAAAAACCTCCTTACAGTGCAAAATGGTTCTGTAGCTTCATAGTGCTGTACACATATTATCAAATGGTTCTCTAACTGCACATCAGAGAGACTCTGGGAATGTAACAAAACTTAAGTAGCTTAATCAATATTACACTTATCTAGTTAGTAGAAAAATCAAGGCTTTAATCTTCTAATTTCTAGTTCAGAGCTTAATTTTCTACTGAAGGTCATAAAGACCACAAACTGAATATGTAATCAACAATAAAAGATTATTTTATTAATAAATATCAAAAAGTAAACATTGCTAAATTTTTTAGGTAATCCTCTCATTCTACCCAATGCTCACACTTTCTTGAATACTGGGTGTACTTTTGAACCTCACAAGTTAGGAGTGACAGAGGATACAGATATTATACTAGAATCCAAAATATAAAAGAATTATATTTGACTTTGAGTCCCAGTTTTCACTTTACAAATCGGGGTATTAATATCTGTCTTTAAAGGGCTGTTATGAAGGCAAATTTAAATAGATGAGTTAAAGGATGATGAGTTATATAGATGATGATATGATTATGAATGGTACAAGATATTGGTATTCTCTCCAAAATGTAAGAGAAATTAAAAACTCGTTAACACAATCCTGCCCAGTGGAAGACAGCAACTGTGGTAGTGTGATTTTTTTCCCATAATCCCACACTAAAGCTGATTTAAATTTACAATTAATAGTCTCATTTTTAGGTAATAAAGAGAAACGTATACACTTGTAAATATGTACAAAAGTTGATTTTATGACATAAATCTTACTATTCATTTAAAAACAATACATGAAAACCACAAACATTCATCAAAATACTAAGGTAAACCTAGTGCATCAGCATACAAAACTGTAACAAATACGTAAGAATAAAAAATTTGAAGAACAAACTCAATAAGGCAACTTAGTCTTGGTTAGGGGTGCTTAATTATATGTCTCAGCTGAGGGAAAAAACTCTGACTTACAGAGGTTATTCTGAAGATTCACAAAGAAAAGAATGTCCAGTGTAATTATTACGGCTAGAATTACTAAAAAAATAAAACATAACCCCCTGAGAAACACAATTACTAAAATTTATTAATACTTCAAACTCTCCCAATCATAATAAGAAAAGTTTTTCGTGATGAGTATTTGTAACACTTACCAGTTATACCCTCTGCTAGAAGATCTGTCATTTTGCAACACGATGCCAAAAGCTTAGTAGTAAATTCATCTAGAAGCATTATCTTAAAATGAATATAAATTAAGAAATACTATCAGCATTTGACTGCTAAGAATTCACAAAAGACAGAATTTAATGCATTAAACCTACTCAAACTTATAAACTTTTTATAATATAAAATTAAAATATTAGGACAGTGGGCAAAATTATCTCAATTCATTTAACTTGCATGACCTAGAAATTTATTTCCTCAATGTACGGACACATGATATTATACATAAGTAAGCAAATAGAAATATTTTCATTTTGAAGCAGAGAACTTGCTCATTTTAAATGTATGTTAACATCAAATTTTCTTAAAATTATAAAATGCCACTTGTAGAATTATAATTGTTCTAGGCACCATTTTAAGCATTTTACATGGATTAATTCATTTAATATTTACAACTACCCTATGAGGTACTTCCATCCCCATTTTATCGATAAGGAAACAGAGGCACAGAGATGTCAAGTAATTTGTTCAAGAAGCCACAGCTAATAGGAGGTAAAGCTAGGATGTGAACACAAGCAGTATGGTTCTAGACTCTATACTTTTATAGAAGTATAATAAGTAAAATATATAGAAGTCTTCAATAAAGGCTTCTAGCTTCATGCAAATTCTATGTGAGTATGCAAATTCTACCTTCCATTCGCCTTCTTTCTTGCAGTCATCAAACACTGTTGCTTTTATCTCTGCAAAGAAAAAGGGAACTATTTAGGAATTTTAATCAACAGTCAGAATAACTACTCAAAAGGTCCAAGATGGCTGGGGAAATATCAACTGGAATTGCTCAGCTACATAAAAAGCACATTCACATGTTAAACTCGAAGTAAAAATCCAGTTCTCTTTAATACATAACCTATATGGTATATTTAAACTGTAATATATTTTTAATCTTTGAGAATAAGAATATTATTAAAAAGGCTAGGGACTTCCCTGGTGGCGCAGTGGTTAAGAATTCACCTGCCAATGGCAGGGGACACGGGTTTGAGCCCTGGTCTGGGAAGATCCCACATGCCGTCGAGCAAAAAAGCCCATGCGCCACAACTACTGAGCCTGCGCTCTAGAGCCCATGAGCCACAACTACTGAAGCCAGTGCACCTAAAGCTCGCTCTCCTTAACAAGAGAAGCCACCACAATGAGAAGCCTGCGCACCACAATGAAGAGTAGCCCCCACTCAACGCAACTAGAGAAAAGCCTGCGCGCAGCAGCAAAGACCCAACGCAGCCAAAAATAAATAAATTTTTAAAAAAGGCTAACATATTTAATTATATAAACATATCTGGAAAATATTTCTGAAAGTATTATCTCACTTGGTTTTTCCTATTTACTTAAATCCTAAGTAAACAAGATGAAAACAACAAACTGGGACTTCCCTGGTGGTCCAGTGGTTAAGACTCTGCACTTCCACTGTTATGGTGCAAGGTTCGATCCCTGGCTGGGGAACTAAGATCCCACATGCCACCATGGCCTGGACAAAACAAAAACAAAAAACCCACAGGAATAGCCCTAACTGGCCCATTGCTAAATTACATCTGACAATCAAAACTAGATAAGTAAGTTTCTTCCTGATTTACTACAATTTTCAAAAATGTGTCACAGCATTAGGATACAAATATTCAGAATTTATTTATAATCAGTAAATATTTACTAATGCATTCCTTGCAATGATTTTCAAAATTAATGTAAACATATATTTTAAATTACTAAATAAAATACACAGAGGCAATTCACACAAATACCTGTTATTCTACTTTGTAAGATAAAAATTTCCCACATTTAATGTTTTATTCTCAGTTAATTTTGAAAATTGTAGTAATGTAACACATAAAATAAAATTAAATGTAAATTACAGTAACTCTTGTTTTTCATTAATTCTTTTTTTTAAATTTATTTATTTTGTTTACTTTTATTTTTGGCTGTGTTGGGTCTTTGTTGCTGCAAGCGGGCTTTCTCTAGTTGCGGTGAGCTGGGGCTACTCTTCGTTGCAGTGCGCGGGCTTCTCATGGCGTTGGCTTCTTGTTGTGGAGCACGGGCTCAGTAGTTGTGGTGCATGGGCTTAGTTGCTCTGCGGCCTGTGGGATCTTCCCGGACCAGGGCTCGAACCTGTGTCCCCTGCACTGGCGGGTGGATTCTTAACAACTGGACCACCAGGGAAGCCCCATTAATTCTTGATAATGAGATACTTATATAATTCATTTAAACTTTTCTATTTCTTAATTTATATTTAAGTTAATGCTTTTGGAAATTTACCAACAAGTTTTTGGCACCATGTTAAAAAATGACATGTCCAAGCAGAGGGTATATTTAATAAGGGTTACTGACACTCATCATAAGAATTGTGATCTGAAAGGTTTTATTGTGATTGAGAGGTGTGGAAGCGTTAAGATATTAAGAGGCTTATATATGTTTCTGGGAAGATTATGATGTTATATAGATTTATGGCAAAAGCCTGAAGTATTTAACCATAATTTAAGCCTAAAGTAGTGGATTTTGGTATTCTACAGGCAAAGAGGAAGGATTTCCTCAAGTAGCACTGAGGCACTGAAACATTATGGTACTTCCCTTTCTAAACTTGCTTTATTCCTGTATACCTAAAACAAGCTGAAAATCAAAGACATTTTGCTAATTTTTGCCGAATTTATGTCTTTCTCTTAGAAATGAATGCTCATGGAATTTATGACGGAGCAGACTGAACAGCTCCCTAGCCGAACTCATTCCAGTCTTTACCACCTTAGCAACTGCACTGTCACATATGGCAGAAACTAGTCACATGTGGTTACTGAGCACTTGAAATGTGGTTAGCCTGAACTGGGATGTCCTGCAAGTATAAAATACACACCAGATTTCAAAGACTTGGTACAAAAAGAAATTTAAAATATCATTTTGTATGTTATTTACATGTTTCAATGATAACATTTTGGATAGATCAAGTTAAACAAAATATATTTTAAAAATTTCATGTTTTTTACCTTTTTTTTTTTGACTTGGCTATCAGAAAACTTTAAGTAACATATGTGGCTTGCCGTTATTTCTAACTAGAATCTGAGGATACCTTAGAATCTGAGGATACCAAGCCAGTGAGTGTTAGCATCTCAAAAATGATAAAGAGATAACTAGTTTTGTGGACAGAGATTAGGGCATCCATGAAAAGTGATGTGGTTACAGGTAAAATGTGTTTGGAGGAGTCAAAGGAAATCACATCAACTAATATGACAGAACTAAAAAGGTATTTCCTCTAATTATTAATGAGAATTATTTAACCTTATAATCCATTTCTCTTGCACCCTAAATATGGATACATCCCAAGAGTCAATTCTCTTACTTTTGCTCTGCTTGCTCTATACTCTTCCTCAGAGACCATACTCATCATCAAAGTATCTTCTAACAGATCTGTCCTTTAATTTTTCCCCCAACTTTATTGAGATATAATTAACACATAACATTTTGTAACTTTAAGGTATACAATGTGTTGATCTGATACACATATACTGCAATATAATTACCTCTGTAGTGTTAGTTTACACCTCCATCACCTCACATAATTACCATTTCTTTTTTGGGGTGAGAACGTTTAAGATCTACTCTCTTAGCAACTTGCAATTATATAGTACAGTACTGTTATCTATAATCACAATGCTGTGCATTAGATCCCCAGAACTTACTCATCTTCTAACTGGATGTTTGTACTCTTTGACTAACTTCTCCCTATTTCCCTCAACCCCCAGGAATCCTTCAATTTTCCACAAATCCTCAACTCTCCTTGGACTTCTTTCCATTACACAATACAGGTTTAAGCACCTATGTGACTCAAATTAAGATTAAATGCCCTAAAAACTGCTCTAGACTTCTCCATTTCTATGAGTTTTATTGTCATTTTCTTTTTTTTTTTGCGGTACGCGGGCCTCTCACTGTTGTGGCCTCTCCCGTTGCGGAGCACAGGCTCCGGACGCGCAGGCTCAGCAGCCATGGCTCACTGGCCCAGCCGCTCCGCAGCACGTGGGATCTTCCTGGACCGGGGCACGAACCCGTGTCCCCTGCATCGGCAGGCGGACTCTCAACCACTGCGCCACCAGGGAAGCCCTATTGTCATTTTCTTAGTCATAGTCATCAGCTATTTCCTCTTTCCTCCATTTTCTAATCATTAGGCTGTACTGACTGTTCTTTCTGGTGACTGCCGCTGTCACCAGCATTGCCTTGATTCTCATCATCTCTCACTGAACTACTGCAATAATCTCCTGTTTGGATTTCCTGCTTTCTACCTCCAACCCCTTTACCTTTTCCAATCCATTTTTCACACTGTTGTCAGAGTCATCTTCCTGAAGCACAGCCCTGTTATATCAATACCCACCTCAAAATTCTCTCAAATGCTCACTGTTACCTACCTAGAATAAAATCTAGACTCTTACTATTCAACATCCTCCATCAACTGGCCTCCACCTAATCTCTAAATTAATCTTCCACCAGTCCAGATGGTCCCCAATTAATCACCTATTAATACCAATTACTCTATCTTTGCTCCTTCTGTTTCTCCTATATATAAAAGGAAATGTATTTAAAACTGTAACACCAAAGAGGATGTGAAAACACTGAAAGGAAAAATAAAAGAACTAACAAAGTAGTGTATAGCATCAGCAATGCCAAGGTATACTTGTACAACTATCTTTAATCACAGAGAAACTAATAAACCTGATAAATATGCAAGAAAAACTGATTTGTCTGGAAAACAGGAAATGAACAGGTAAGAATCTTTATAGGTAATCCCAGGGGCCTGGGGCAGAGGTAAAAGTAATACTCATTACTAGTTGAATAAAAACAGATTGACCTGCGCTTCCCTGGTAGCACAGTGGTTAAGAATCCACTTGCCAATGCAGGGGACACATGTTTGAGCCCTGGTCCGGGAAGATCCCACATGCCACAGAGCAACTAAGCCAGTGCACCACAACTACTGAGCCTGCACTCTAGACCCCACGCGAGCCACAACTACTGAAGCCCGCACGCCTAGAGCCCATGCTCCGCAACAAGAGAAGACACCGCAATAAGAAGCCTGAGCACTGCAAAAAAGAGTAGCCTCCGCTCACCACAACTAGAGAAAGCCTGCGCACAGCAACGAACACCCAACTCAGCCAAAAATAAAAATAAATAAATTAAGAACAAAAAACAAAAAACAGATTGACCCATTCATGGGAAAGACCACTTAGAGCTTTCAAGGTTTACTATTTTAAAATTTTATGAAATGGGACTTCCCTGGCGGTCCAGTGGTTAAAACTTTGCCTTCCAATGCAGGGGGTGTGGGTTCGATCCCTGAGTGGGGAGCTAAGATCCCACATGCCTCGTGCCAAAAAACCAAAAAACATAAAACAGAAGCAATATTGTAACAAATTCAATAAAGACTTTAAAAAAAATGGTCCACATCAAAAAAATCTTAAAAAAAATTATGAAATATGAACAATATGAAAACTGAGGACTAGTATAAGACCACCTAAATATATACAAAGGAAAATATTAAAGCAATTATTTCTAGGTAGAAATTTAGTAAATTCTATATTTATTCTTCAAGCAAATACTTTACAATTAAAAGTCTGAAGGGGGACTTCCCTTGTGGTCCAGTGGTTAAGAATCCATGCTCCCAATGCAGGGGGCCTGGGTTCCATCCCTGGTCAGGGAACTAGACCCCACATGCCGCAACTAA